AATTCCACCACTGCCCCTGTCAGAGCCTGAATCCTCAGAGGAAGATGAGTCAGAACTGGAGCCAACGGAGATTGAGAGGGGGACATTGTTGGCTTCGGAGGAATATAGGGAGGAGCAGGCAGAGGCAGGCCAGGGCCTTTCAGGATTGGGATGGTTTGAAGGCAGGGAGGAACGGGCAGGATGAACATGAGAGACAGAGCTCAGGCGATGAGCAAGGACTACCCCCTCCTGATCCTCAAGCACGGAGAGTGGAGAGAAGGAGGGAACAGTGCAGGTGGACCTGACTACTCAGGAGGAGAGCACCCCGCCTCTCTCCACAAGGCACACCTGGGGACTGGGACTTAAGGAGCCGCTGTGGGGAGGAGCATTTGTCGGAAACAAATGCTAAATTATTGGAAGTTTGTGTGCTGTTGCTGACGTTGGAAACAACCCTCTGATCTCCTGTTCTGTGTTGTGATTGCCATGGCTTCTCTTCTAAGGCAGTTATGCAATGGAGTTGTAGCCAAGGGAAGGATGTGGGAGTCAAGCCTGACAGGAAGGAAGTGGTAACATAACCTCCCACTGTTCGGGAACCAAGAAACAGACCAAAGGGATATGTGCATGTGATGTGGCAGCTCTACCTTTCTAAGATGCTATTGGTTGGGAAGCTCTAGGAAAATCTACATGTGGAACCTACATATATACACAAATAACTTTCTACTTCAAATTTACTTCAATATCACCTGCAGATTCCATTGGGGTGGAAAAGGCAAAGCAAGCAAGCAAGAAGAGTGCCTCAAATCCTTTTCATAATCACATCCCTGAACAATATGTTAGAGATCTGGTTCAGCTAATTACTACCCAACTGAGTAAACAACTGAAATGCTGCTGTTAGATTGCAAAATTGGAGCTCAGCCCTGGCCATGGATTTCTGGGCTGCTCTTCACATTTTGAATTCCAAAATGATATGATGCCAAATTTCTTACTGTTCCTTTTACTTCCTACTATTTGAATACTTAAGCAGCATTATGAAGCATTACACAATTATCAGCTTTAATATCACTGATGAGAAAAACCATAGTTTAAGCTTTTGACTGGACTAATTGAATAGCAAGGAAAACACTCCAATTAGCTTTTGTAGACAATGCCAATGTTATGAAGATCTATTCAGAGGAAGACCCACTGTTTTCCAGAAGACCTACTGTCAAGGAAGGATGCATGGATAGGATTATAAACCTAATTCATGCAAGAAGTGAGGACTCTGAGAGCAAATTACAGGGTGTAAAATGTCTAGGCTTCAAACTTAATTATATTTACGTCTGAGAAAATTATGGAATTGTACTGTAAATCCCATATCACTTAAAATGTGAGTGATCTCAATCAATGGGCTTCAGTTCAAGTACAGAGAGGGAATGGCACCCACAGGTGGACTTCCATTGATATGATAATCTCTAGTCTGGGCATTCAGCAAATGAGGCAAGATGCAAAATGAGGAGATAAGATAATTAAAAAGCTTACTTGAGGCAAGTAAGTTAGGCTGGAATTTCAGCAAAAGATTTAAAAGCAACTATTTCTACTTTTCTGTATCTTATTTCATCAATACAGCCTCCCAAAAGCCACAAGCTCTTCCAACCCTCCTATTTTCCAGCATTTTCTTCTGACTCACCAAATTCAATGTATTTCTTTGTTCAACAGCTGGACTATTGAAAGAAAACAACATGTCACAATTTGGCAAACAGTTTTTGTTTCCTGAAGTATGATGGTACAGCATTGGGCAACAACTTTGGAAATGAATTTTTGACTATATCTTTTCTTAGAAACTGAAAAATACATAATATAAACTGATTTTTTTAAAAACATAAACATTTTAACCATGGAAGTAATTTTGCATAATTCCCCATACTGGACATATAAATGTGTACTTCATGACCAATAATGCCCCAAAACTATAAGAAGTGAATTAATTAACAATTATATTGAAACATTTTAGAATACAGTTGTTTTACAACAGTTGTTATTCTGCCACTTTGTAAATTGTTTAAAAAACCATTGACACTGGTCATTCCCATATTAATCAGTAAGCACCTAAATATTTGTGTCATTTTTTATGACATTTCACGTGGCAAATTTCCAAATCTTTCTACTATCTGAACATTTTGTAATATTTTATTTTTCGTATAGGTTTTCCTTGCCATGTCAAGTTTTCTCCATTTCATCAAGTTTTGATATTACTTCCACCTTCTTGCAATGTGTCATGGTTCCGACAGACAGAGATGAATAAAGCAGAACGAGGCTTGCAAATTCCTTAAAGAACATGTTTATTGTTACAAAGTATTGGCACGGTCAAAGTGAAACCAATTCTGAATTCCCCATAACAATCCCTCAGATACAAAGTATAAAGTTCCCATCTCCAAAATTATGTAATTGATTATGTTCCCCAATAAATGCATTTGGTGAGCTTTCTTATACAACGCCCAGTCTCTGACTGGGAGGAACAGATGATCTTAGTTCCCTCGGAACAGCTGATTATTTTGACTAGCAAAGCACCTGGGCAAACCCCCTCCCTCCATTCCAGGTGGCAACTTCAAATGAAAGGAAAACAAAATGGCTGCAGCCAGGCTCATTTATTTGTTCATTTGAACTCATTTGTTCAGACATGCAAAACATGCTTCCTCTCCACTTCTGCACTCTTCTTCTTAGCACTTTGAAAATTTATAGCTGTACCTAAAATTTATATACTCCAACACTCATCCTGTTATACTGCTTTCTTTCATCCAGGGCTTCCGCTTACAGTCCATGGTCAGGCCTCCATTCAATCATTCTGCTAATTTTCTAACCTGGGATGGGCAACCTCTGGTCCCGAGTAATATTTTGCGATCATTTATGTCCTCCTTTTACTACTATAATGGTCGAAACTGAATGCAAATATTCTTGCCACTTTAAAGTCGAAAACAGTAATAAGCACTAGAATTGTCATATCACATTTTCAACAATCTCTCTCCAATCTTCCCTTACTCACATCTATCAACATTAATTTGAATAATTATCACCTAAGGCTCCTTGTATTTGCTATCATACGCTTCTAATGGCCAGGAAATCTCAGGAACTCTTGAACTGCTGCTGGGAATTTGGCAGCCTACATTCATCTGACCACCAAATCGTCTTCTTCAATAAGTCTGAATATGGACTTTAAGCTCTGGTGATGCATGATGATGCAGACTTTTTCAATGAGCTGAACACATTTTTTGGTAGATTTGAGGCATCAAAAGCTATGCCCCATCTTGATGAGCAAGTGCTTAGCTTTGATATTACCTCTGTCTGAAGAACATTGCAGAAAGTTAAAATTTGGAAAGGAGCAGGCCCAGATAATATCGCTGGGCATGTTCTTAGGGAATGTGCAGACGGGTTGGCTTGTGTTCTTATAGATACTTTCAATCTTTCACTGCAACAGACAGTAGTCCCATCATGTTTTAAGATGGTCATTATTTTGCCAGTGCCAAAAAAGTCTACAAGTACAGGTCTCAATGATTACCATCCAGTTGCACTTACGTCCATCATTATGAAATGTTTTGAGAGGTTAATAAAGGACATTATTGTATCCAGCCTTCCTCCAGTATTTGACTCACATTAGTTTGCTTACTGTCCAAATTGTTCTACAGAGGATGCTATTTCTTCTGTTATCCATCTGATCTTGGCACACTTAGAGGAAAGAAACATTCATGTGCAAATGCTGTTTGTCAACTTCAGTTCAGTATTTAATACAATCATTCCTCAGCATCTAGTAGATAAACTGGGCCTTTTAGGCTTTAATACTCCTTTGTGCAACTGGATTCTGGATTTTCCTATTGATAGGTCCCAGTATGTGCGAGTTGGGACTAATATTTCTAACACCATTTTCTTGAGCACAGGTTCTCCTCAGGGCTATGTCCTAAGTCCGCTGCTGTTCACTTTGTTGACCCATGACTGTTGGGCCAGGTTTGCCACCAAGCATATTGTGAAGTATGCGGATGATACAACAATAGTGGGCCTTATTCAAGATGACAATAAGGGTGCTTACCGCAAGGAAGTAGAGGGTTTGGTGAACTGGTGTAACAAAAACAACCTCATTTTAAATGTAGGAAAAACCAAACAGATCATTGTCGATTTCAGAAAAGGCAGGCACAGCCACATACATCTGTGTATTAATAATTCACCTATGAAGCATCAACCATCAAATTTCTGGGTGTGCAGCTAACAAGTAGATTAGCTTGGTCACTCTACAGTGAGACACTGGTAAAAATGGCACAAGAGCGGCTGCATTTTCTACATCGCATGAGAAAAGCACATCTTCCTTCCCCTGTCCTTCCCCTTTTCTACAGAGGGATGATCAAGAGCAACCTGTCACATTGCTTTACTGTCTGGTTTGGAAGCATCACTGCTTCAGACAGGAAGATGGTGCAGAGAATGGTGAGGATGGCTGAAAAGATTATTGGCAGTTCCTTCCATCCAGGACATAGCATATAAGCGTTGCTTAAGCAATGTCCGCAGGATTGTCTGTGACACTACACATCCTCTTCATGACCTGTTTTCCTTGTTACCCTTTGGAAGGAGGCTTCGTGCTTCCCGAAGCAGAACATCCAGATTCAGTCATAGTTTTGTTCCATATAGCATCAACCTTATGTATAGGTATAGGTATAGGTATATATGTGTGTTATGTATAGGTATGGGTAGATATATACTTTCTTTTGGAGCAGACAACAGAATTTAATTTTTAATGTGGGCCAGTGTGCTCATAGTAAAAAAATGACAATAAAGGTTATCTTATCTTATAAGATAGGATAGGATAGGATAGGATAGAACAGGATAGGAGCTAATGTAAAGTATTTATGAGGTTAATTCTAGTTAACAATTTCCTGAGTATTTTTGACTAAATCTAAATTTTCCAAGACAATTCTTCTAATTCCAGGGCAATAAAATTAAAGTACAGTTTGAAACAAATGGTACATAAATTGTGTTTAAAGAAACAATCCTGTAGTACTTCAATAACGTACATGGTATTTATTGCTTAAATGACATTTATTTTCCATATAATGTTCAGTAATGATATATAACTAAGAGTTCAATTATTATAAATTCAACTCCTTTTTTGCCGTCCAATAAAACGTTGCATGATTATCAGTATTTAAGTCTTTCTGATCTAATAAGGAAAGTGTATTTGTTTGTACTTCCATCATTGCAAATTTTTCTCTCAACAAAAGTGTCAGCTATCTTATATTGGGAGCATATTAAAAGTGTGCATGAAATGTATTTAATTTCCTCCATCCAACATGGAGGACAAGAAACAGCTTTCACCAGCAATATGGCTGAATTTGCCTTCAAATAATGCAGGTAGGAGACCAAAGTGAGCACTTTTCTATAGGGCTTTGAGGTCAGAATAGGTCAACTGGATATGTAGAAAGGGGAATCATAGATTTCTTTGTGCCCAGTAGTAATGAAAGCAATGGCAAATAAATTACATCTTTTCAAAGCTTTATACTACTTACTCTTTGTTTAGGGTCTTTTTAGATATCCCCATAAAAATTACAAATTACAACCACAATCATTAAGATTTGTACTAAAAAATTTTCCCAAATAAGTGTGACTAGAATTAGGATTAGCATAAGATAAGTGAAGAAAATATTGCATTTATCCAATAATAAAGACACAAGACTTTAATTAAAGGCATATCAAATACTAAATCTCTTAAAATTTAGTCTGTGTTATCATCAGTGGACCAAAATCAGTATCTGTGTATGGGTAGATTTGAGACCATAAACTGAGCTATAAATCTCAAAAGCACGTAAAACAATTAGAATAAGATCCCCTCTCTAAACAGTATTAAAAATTTTTGAGCCTAGCTATTTAGTTTCTTGAGTTACTGTGTTTTTATAAATTTACTCATTTTTTACAGGAATATTGTCCCTATATAGCAGGGGTGTTAAACTGCTGGCTCGCAGGCCAGTTTCATCATACTGAAGCCGCGCCCACTCCATTGCTGGCAAAAAGAGTCACGATATGTCGCAACACGTGACATGACGTGGTGAGTTTGACGCCCGTGCTATATAGCTACCAATTTTGTGGGTGCTCAGTAGTTTGAAGACAGTACCTATGTCTTCTGGTAATTTATCGACAGATTGTCCCCCTTACAAAAGAGCTAAAGGCCATCATATACTGTTTAGCCCAATTGGTGGTAATAAATATAGCTATATGTGACATAACTGCTTTTCACTGACCCACCAAATTAGGTCAGTGGTGCTCTTTTTTGATAATTTTTAATATAAAATATAAAAATTAGACAGTCTATGTTAAGATGCAGCCTTACTTAATCCCTTCCTGCCATAGGATGGGGAAGAAAATTGTCCCTGTTATTACGTCTAATCTGAAGAGGAGCAGCCACTTTCAGCTGTTTAGTCAAATGGAATTACTAATAATCTACTGAGATCTTTTCAGACTTCTTCCAAGTCATATCACAGAGAATGCAATCAAAGGCTGGTTTTTAATCTATAAAGGCTACATAAAATAGTCCCTTAGATAGAATAGTATATTTTTCTGTAAGATTAATGGTTTAACAATGGCATATAGGGCTTTTGTCTTATTAAAAAAGCTTGCTTATGTCTTCTTCTAGTCATTTCACAAGAAGCAGACTAGCATACAATTTGTAATGATATTTAAAGGCTCCTAGTACAATAGTTAATTGGGTCAGCTCTATTACTATTTATTAAAATGGAAGCTGAGGAGGGCAACAATACATAGGTATTTAGAGCATGGCAGTTTATTTATCCACTCAATAAACACTGGGTATACCTTGAATTGTTATCTTAATTAAAAATATTAACACATTCTGAGAAAGATATGCCATCTATATATGTTTGTGTGCTAGGCTACAAACAATACATTTTAAAAATATATTTCCATTTCCAGTTTTTCTCATAAAGAACAAAACAGTGCAGAAACATTCATTTTGCTGTTAGTTGTGAAATATTCAGAAATGTTATATCTTTAGACACGATAAATATGGAGGTTAATCTGAAGACACCAAGGCATACTTGTTAAACAGAGAGAAGATAACAGAAATGGCATATTTTTTCCCCAGGGAATGTCCAGATGCAAAATTCCTCAGAGTGCTCAACCTATTTGTCCTCCATTTTTGCTGGAGGAAGAAACTGGTGTTTGTCTTAGTAGTTAATTAGTCTTTCAACTATCTTGTTGGTGCTACAGTTCTCTCCATACAGAAGTTGGAGCCAATTCAAAATAATCTCGCTCATGTTCTTTGCACAATTCCAGGAATACCTGAACAATACAATAAATCAATAACTTTAAAGGAATTACACATACGTTACATTAGATTTATAAACTGCTAACATTGATTCTGACTTCTATCTAGGCACATCTGAGAATATAAAATAATTGCATAATGGATTATTGTGTTTTGTCTGAGGTGGAAACACGAAGGTAAATTTATCCATGTAAGGGTAACGTATTAAAATGTTTTGTTTCTTTCCAGCATGCATCTGATGTTTCTGTAATTTGCTTTACCAGCACTACAAAGAGAGCATAGCGCTTAAGACCTCCCTTAGCCTACAGAAGGTTGCTAGTTAAAAATATATTTTTTGAGTAGCTACTTTTTCCCCTGGCTTTTTTAAAATTTAAAATAGTCTTACAATTGTTCCAATCACTTAAGACTGAAGAATTTCATCTCCTGCTCCCAAATAGCCAAAATACCTTATAGAACAGCTTTTTTATTCTGGTATGTAAGAGAATATTCTCTCACTAAAAGTACCACTATGTTATTTGAATATCTAAGCCATTACCTGTTCCAAAGTGTTCAAAGAAAAGCTGTACTCTTCAAGACTGAAGTGTTGTTTAGCTGTGTAAAGAAAATATTAAGTCAGTTATAGCTGGCTTATTTATGTCTGACTTGGGTAATAATTTGCTTTCCTTCCCCTTTGCATGATTATTTTTTCTACCCAACATATATCTCTTTACTCACTGTGATAGCATCTATACAGATTTTTGAGTTAACTTAGTGCTTTATCCAAAGTATGCCTTTGACATGGAAGGTTACTCTTTTTGATTACCCTTTTTGAGAAATTCACACTCAAAGCTAGGAGTTGGCAAGAAATCATAGTACTGCATGAACCTGTTCATCGTGGGTAACTGAAATTGAGGTGGCCAACAAATTTGCCCCTGATCTAGCTGCCAGGCAGTCTGCAGGTCCTTACAAATCACTGCAAAATTTATTCAAACATACCATCTTCTAGCATGGCAAAGGCTCTAGAGAGAGGCAAGGCATCTTCCATTGGGATCTTATAGACCAACAAAGTGGATATCCTAAGAGGAAGGGAAACCAATCATTAGTTATTAAACTGATGCAAAAATGCTAACATAGAGCAACCAGATCTATTTGTACAGAAAAAAAAAGTTGGCAGGGAAGGGAGGATGAAGAATAAATCCACAGCAATACTTTGGGGGCACAATTATGACTGTTTATTTGGGAAGGAATCTGCATGCAAGATGCCTTACATGGCAAGGAAAATACACATTACCTCCTTTGCAATAGTGGCAAATATAAGTAGGTTGGGTACAGGATGAGGGTGAAAGTTTGTTCTCCAAGCTTGTGGGTTGGTTTCCAAACATTTGGTTACCAGACTAACATCTTCAGTGGAGTTTAGGGGATATCAGCATTTTTATAAAGGCGTTGTATGGTCAGTAGGTCTTGTGAGGAGTCAGGTGTGGGTGTGTCAAGTGAGGGTCATAATGGGTCTTGTGATGGGTCAGGTGTGAGTCAACAGTGGGAGTCTTGTGATGGGTCTTGTGATAGGGAGGTTACATCAGATAAGGTGAAGTGCTGGTTAGGGTGACTTTCGTGGGTTGCTTGAGGGTTGGAGCTATCTCTTGTTAGCTATGTGGTTGATTTGGATTCTGAGGGATTTGAAGGCTGGTTGTAGGTCAATGTGTCTGTTAATGAAATTGCTTGTGGCGTGCCAAGCTTTGATGAACTCACAAGCGTGGTGGGTGGTAGCACAGCTGATTATTTTTGTGTTGCTCCAATTGAACTGGTGCTGTCAGTGTGGATAGAGACTAAGGATTAGGGATTGTGGTGTTTGACTGCCACTCAGTATTTGTGGATCTTGGTTTTTAATTGATGTGATGTTTGTCCCACGTAGAATTGGTTGCAATTGTTACAGTTGATTTTGTGGATTACATTGTTTCTTTTGTCCTTCTGTATCCTGTCTTTGGTTCTGGATAATTCCTGGCAGAATGAGGCTGTGGATTTCTTGGCTATTACTATTCTTAGAGGTTGGAGAATTTTGGCTGTCATTTACAACACCTCTTTCATGTATGATAGGGTTAGTTTTTTTGTGGTGGTTGGCTATGTGGGATGTTATGGTTTGGGTTCTCTGTGTTGAAATACAAAGATTTTTGGATAGCTGTTACAGAGAAAGACATCAAGCAGCCATTTCTCTTCTCCTTTTCTTAGTATTGTGGTGCTGCAGTGTGTCCTGGCTCTTCTAAAGAGGGTCTGGACACAGCTTCTTTTGTGTATGGTAGGGTGGTTGCTTGCAAAGCTGAGAATCTGGTCTGTGTGCATGGGTTTGCAGTAGACATGGGTTTCTTGTTCTGTGTTGTCTAGTCTCCCTATGTTGATGTTGAGGAATGGGAGCCTGTTGTATAATAATAATAATAGTAACAGTAATAGTAATAATAATAATAAAGTTGGAAGGGACCTTAGAGGTCATCTAGTCCAACCCCCTGCTCAGGCAGGTAACCCTACACCATTTTGGACAAATGGCTGTCCAGTCTCTTCTTAAAAACTTCCAGTGTTGGAACATTCACCACTTTTGGAGGCAGGTTGTTCCACTGGTTAATTGTTGTAACAGTCAGGAGGTTTCTCATTAGTTCTAGGTTGCTTTTCTCCTTGATTAGTTTCCATCCATTGCTTCTTGTCCTGCCTTCAGGCGCTTTGGAGAATAGCTTGACTCCCTCTTCTTTGTGGCAGCCCCTGAGATATTGGAACACTGCTATCATGTCCCCACTCGTCCTTCTCTTCATTAAACTAGACATACCCAATTCCTTATATGTTTTAGTCTCCAGTCCCCTAATCATCTTTGTTGCTCTTCTCTGTACTCTTTCTAGAGTCTCAACATCTTTTTTACATTGTGGTGACCAAAACTGGATGCAGTATTCCAAGTGTGGCCTTACCAAGACATTGTAAAGTGGTATTAACACTTCACCCGATCTTGATTCTATCCCTCTGTTAATGCAGCCTAGCACTGTGTTGGCTTTTTTGGCAGCTGCAGAACACTACTGGCTCATATTTAAGTGATTGTCACTAGGACACTGAGATCCCTCTCACAGTTACTACTATTGAGCTAGGTACTCCCTATACTATACCTTTACATTTGTTTTTTCTTGCCTAAATTTAGAACCTTACTTTTTTCACCACTGAATTTCATTTTGTTAGATAGCACCCAGTGTTCAAGTCTGTCCAGATCCTTCTGTATCCTAAGCCTGTCTTCTGGAATGTTGGCTATTCCTGCCAGCTTGGTGTCGTCTGCAAATTTGATGAGTTTCCCATCTATCCACTCATCCAAATCATTGATGAAGATATTGAAGAACACTGGGCCCAGAACAGAGCCCTGGGGCATCCCACTACACACTTCCCTCCATGTAGATGCAGTTCCATTGAGGACCACACACTGAGTATGGCTAGTCAGCCAGCTACGAATCCATCTTGTGGTGATGTTGTCTAACCCACATTTTTCTATCTTATCAAGTAGTAGATTGTGATCTACTTTATCAAATACCTTACTGAAGTCCAGATAAATTATATCCAAAGCATTCCTCTGGTCCACTAATTTTGTTACTTGGTCAAAGAATGCAATAAGATTTGTCTGGCATGATTTGCTTTTGACAAATCCATGTTGGCTTTTAGCAATGACTTTGTTTGCCTCTAGGTGTTCGGTGATTCGTTGTTTGATTATCTTTTCCAGAATTTTCCCAGGTATTGAGGTCAGGCTGATAGGTCTGTAATTTCCTGGATCTATTTTTTCCCCTTTTTTGAAAATGGGAACTATATCAGCTCTTTTCCAGTCCTCCGGTAGTTTCCCAGTGCTCCAGAATCTTTGAAAGATATAGTTCAGTGGTTCTGAGATCACACCTGTCAGTTCCTGAGAACCTTGGGGTGTAATCCATCTGGTCCTGGTGATTTGAACTCGTCTATCATTTTCTTGCCTATCTTAACTTGTTTTTCTATACTGTTTTTTATGGTACTATTTTTGATAGGTTGGTCTGTTTTTTCCTTTTGTGTAAAGACAGATGCAAAAAACAAGTTAAATAGTTCTGCTTTCTCCCTGTTGCTTGTCACCTTTTTGCCACTTTCCCCCACTAATGGACCAATCATTTCCTTAACTTTTTTTCTTGTTTTTTTGCATGCTGAAAGAAGCTTTTTTTGTGTGTTATTTTTGACTTTGGTTGCAAAGCCTTAGTTCGTTTTGAGCCTTAGCTTTCCTTACTTCATCTTTGCAGGCTCGGGCTATTTGCTTTTTCCTCTTCAGATGTGAATTTGATCCCAAGGAATATGTTATTGAGTAAGTGGTGTGCTTCTTCAATTTGGGAGCATTTGATGATGATGATGGTGTCATCATGTAGCATGTCCAGAATTTTGGTTGGATGGTGGGTGGAGCTATAAATTTGATTTGTTGCATGACTACTTCTGCAATTAGGCCTGATATGGGTGATCCCATCAGGGTACCTTGTACTTGCTTATAGATTTTTCCCATTGAACTTGAATGCATAGATCCAGAACTTTCATGATGGTTTCTGTGGACATGGAGTGTTCTGTGGTAGCATCATTTTGTGGATATGGTGTTTAGTAAATAGGTGGTGTATGGTTTGTTTAGCCAGACTGATGTCTATGTGTGGAGGAGACTTGTGGTTGCATGTGCTTTCTCTCTAGTGGTGTTAGCTATTTTTCTTTTTCCAATTTTCTTAGGGTGTCTTTTATTTTGTTCTCTAGTTGTTTTGTCAGATCATTGTGGATTATTTGGTAGGTGTTGATGTCATTTAGATGGTTTTCAGCTTTGCTGATGTAGTCAGTTTTGTCCATCACCACCACAGCCTGCCTTTGTCTGCCCGTAGTATGATGATGCGTTTGTCTTGTTTCAGTGTCTTTAGTGCTTTCTTCTCCTTTTGGCTGAGTGTTTAGTTTTCTCTGTTGCATTGCACGTTGGGGATGATTGTTTGTCTGAAGTCTTCTTGTGTTACACATTACCTCCCTTTGTATCTAGATATATGATTTTTCCACAGTATTGAAACTTTCTTTTTAATATGAGGTTGATAGAAAGGAACATTTACACTTCCATTTACTTAAACTCTCCAGCTATACCAGCAGTTCCCAACCTTTTCTATACCGCACACTCCTAGAACGCTTCTGATATATTCTTGCACCCCTTACAAAAGTTCGAAATAACGGCAACAAATTATGTATATGCACTAACCCAAGTTTTCACACCCCCTGGAATATCGTCTCGCACCCCTGGTTGGGAACCCCTGAACTATACAGTAGTTGATGGTAATTTCGGAAAACAGCTTCATGCGAGAACCTTAATTCAGCTTAGAAAATGCACACTAAAGGCAAATACATCAGGCTGTATTAGCACCTTAATCAAAGGCAGAGAGAGGCAACAGATGAAAGCCATATTCAGCTGGTTAACTTGACCCATCCCATAAGCAAAAATAGTTAAGAAATTCACTATCAAAGAATAATATGAAATGTACTAATTAAAACTTTTTTAAAAAAAATCTGTCAGTTTGCAAAGAAGTTACCTTTCTTGACGTTCTGCTTGTGGGAAAATCTTTAGAATCTGAGTATTCACAAGATCTCCTTGTTCTACTCCCTTTACTTTTATTTGTAGCAAATAATTTTTCCCAAATTTGCTTTTCAAATACTGAATTGAACCAAGGCACCTGCAGAAAGAAAAGATTACCATTTACTATATGGTCTCAAGGTGTTCCTAATTGAGACATAGATAGTCCTCACTTAACAACAGAAATTGGGACTGGAATTTCTATTGCTAAGAAATATGGTTGTAAAGCATGATGTCATCCGACAGTATTGCTTAATACAGCAATTCCTGTATTTCCTGTTGCCATTGTTAAGCAACAATTGTGGGTTGTTCAGCAAGGAGCTCTTTTCAACTTCCTGCTGACTTCCAACAAGCAAAGTCAGTGGGGAAGCCCTCAGGGAAATTGCAAGTCCCAGATAGTTCACAGGCAGACCAGTGGGCAGATAAATGGCTATTGCCAGGGTGCAGACATGACAATGATGGTATCTGTGAATTCTATTTTGAAATATAGTTTATTTCCACTAGTATTTCATGCAGCCACCCTTTCCCATGCATTCAGAGAATATCTACAGTATATGAAGTTATTAGATCTTGTGTGCTATCCCAATTCCCATTAATCATGAATTTTGCCCATATGGGAAGTGGCTTTACTTAGGTAATTATCCAAGGTGAATGCTTACTTTGGCCCAGTTTGGGCATTTGTTCATGTGGGAGGTCTTTGCCCATAAAAAAAGCTCACCCTTAGAGCACCTGCTATCTGTATCAAACATACACAAGACATCTGTTACCATTGCCCATATATGTTTTTTCTCTATGTGATGTGGTTTCTGTGTAATATCTATAATATCTTCTCTACTCTATTGTGGAATCATCTGAACTCCCGTGTAATTCATTTAGTTTCAGCATTTATCCTTGTATCCTCTCAATAGACTTAGAAGTAGAAAATTGCTACTTAAGCAATTACTAGAAAACATATTGATAGCTTCTTTGAATTAAAAAATAAAAGCAGAACAAGAACAATCCTTTAGTTCATTCACTTTGCTTCATGCAATTCTCTATTTATGTTTCATCTATACTTTCTCTATTTGTGGTAACCTGTTATATAGATAAAATATTTAAGGAAGCCCACCTGAGCTGTCCAGACACCATGATAGCTATTCGGTCACACAACACCTCTGCTTCCTCCATGTGGTGAGTTGTCAAAATGACTCCTTCATCTTTCTCCTGCAGCATAGTGCGAATTGCTCTCCTGTTGACAACAAATGGCTGAGGAAGTTTAAGCAGCCTTAAAACAACTCCAAAGGCCTTCTCCCGCCATTGCCATTCTATTCTGATCCTGCATAATTGATAGGTACATCTTCCATGCCAGAAGAAAAAAAAAATACCCCCATCTAGTCCCAAATTAATTTGCATGAAGGAATTGTAAAGAGGGAGAAGAAAACCTGCATCTTTTTATCCTTACCTCTCTCTCTTTCCCCACTATGGAAAATGATTAAAGTCTCCTCAAGGGAGACTCAAGAGTTTTCTCTTTTAACCTTTGGGATCATGAAGAGAAGATGGAAGAGAATCTGCCATTAAGGAGGAAACTGGTTTTCCTCAGCATGAGTCAGATTCATTATCTGCACAGATAGGAACATAGTAACATTTTCCAACAGCTGAGATATTCTAGAGGTATGAATGGGAAATATTTCCTCTTGGAATATTGTCAGATGCTTTTTCTGTATTCAGGTGCAAGAAGTAATGTTTAGTCATTGGCTTTAGATATTAATTATAGAAGGGTCCCCCACCCTACACAACAGAACTAAAGGAGAAAGGAAGGAAGGAAATGGGGAGACTGGAATTTGTCTTTTTTATAAGAGTGCAACACTTATTCTAAAGGATTAATCCCTGAATCACTTACCACACCTGGCGCTTCCCTTTTGGATCCAGGCCTGTGGTTGGTTCATCCAAAAGCATCAGAGTGGGATTACCCAACATGCTCAGAGCAAAGCACAGCTAAAATGTAGAAAATGAATCTCATCTTAGAAATCATATTTCATGCCAACATAGAACAGAAATGTGAAGACATAATTTTAAAAAGGTATTTGTAAAGTGCTCTTCAACTACACATTTTTGGATCTGTGAAGCTCTACAGGAATATGTCAGAAAAAAAGACTGCAGAAATGAAATCAACCAATCAGAAAATGTCAAAAGATCTTGTTAGTTTTATATGAAATTATCAAGGACCAGGATGAATAAAGTGTTTATTAATAATGAATGTAGATGCCTTCAGTTGGAAATGCATAATCAGCACCAGGAAATTTAGAAAGTCCATTATATTTCAATACTCTACTAAATTCTAATACTAACATTCCTCATCTTTCAGTTTGTTCTCGACAGCTGAAGTCACCTTGACAAAATTATGAAATATGACATCATATTTCCTGCTATGTATTATTTGGACCACACTAATACTTCTATGATGCTCCTGTAGAAATATACCAGAGTTTGGAATATTTTACAGCATGCATGAATCAAGGTAAACTTTAATATTTGAGAATGAAGTTTTGAACTTACTAAAGGGTAATTTCCCAATCTGTAATTTTTAATTGCATGCTACACAGAACAGAACATCTGTTAAGCAAAGTCCATTTTTAATATGTCAGTATTGGTTGACTGGCTGCTCTGGGCTATCCTCTGATTTTCTAGCAGCTCATCTTATTATTCCCACTGTCCAATAGATTAAAAAAATGTAATATTTTCAAGCAAAACATGAGCCAATCATGTGCTGTATAAGGTTTGGTGCTTAACAAAGACTGAATCCAGGTTTCCAGGGCTCCAAGCATAGCTGTCCATGCTATTAGAACTGCCATACTATATTAGGCATTCTCTTCTTGCCACCATCTTATGAAAATTTGCTTTCAAGCAACACTAACGTAGCCTGCACTTTCACACATGAAAAAAGAGATCACATAATGCAAGAAAGAAAGCAGTAGAATGGCTGGGAGAAATAAGGGGAAATAACAAAGAGCAGCAACCCAATTGTTCTTGATGCTGCTACCAAATGTTGACCAAACCTTTAGTATCTGTCCATTAGTACTAGAGTAACGAAACACCGAACTTACTTTTCTGGTCAATCCAGCTGCTAAAGTCTTTATTCTCTTTTTTAAATGCCCTCGGAGTTCTAGAGCTTGAGATATTCTAAAAACAAAGCAGAACTTACAATGTTTAATCTATTCTGCAATTGCAAACACATTAAGAAAATAAAAGACATCCCATTGTAATATTGTATCCTATGTAGAAATTTCAATTCTGATGTTCAAGAACTGCAAAAGGAAAAATCAAAACTGAAAATAACTACTTAATAACTTATAACTACTAATATGTTTGTTTTAAATATATAAACTGACTTCTATTAATAACAAATCTTGTGGCAGGGATTTAATTATTAAAAAGGATTCTTTGTCCATACCGATTAATGGCCATAATAGCATCATCCTTCCTTATTCCTTTTACGGCTGCAAAAATCTCCAAATGTTCTTTCATGGTCAAATTGGACCAGAGCGCATTCTCCTGAGGACAGTAGCCAAGAGCAACATTTTCTTCTGTCGCAGCTCCATCAGCTCCTTTAATCTGCACCTGTTCCAATGTAAGATATTTGAAATATCAGTAAGATGACAAGGAATGTAAATGAAATGCAAGTATTCTATACCAAATTAGTGCACTCAGAACCAAGTCCAAGAAAGATGAAGAGATATAGCATAGGGCTACATCTATTGTCAAACTGTAGCTATTAACTAGTCCAAAGTTATTTCATTTTCTTTAGTTTTCTAAATTAAATTTTACAATGCAATATAAGTAGGAGGAAGAGCAAGACATTCTCAAACTTTACTTTTTGTTTTTTCCAACTCAACGATATAGAAAATGTGAAATGGACTCTGGACTCTGTTCACCTATTGATCTTTTTTCAGAAGGGAAACTACCTTTTGGGAGGAAGGAGGGAAGGAAGGAAGGAAGGAAGGAAGGAAGGAAGGAAGGAAGGAAGGAAGGAAGGAAGGAAGGAAGGAAGAGATACAGAGAAAACAACATTCCAGACGGAAAAAAACTCCCAGTGCTTCTAGTGGGTGAGTCAGTTGGGCAACAACTTTGAAAGCTGCCAACTGCTCCATTCTTAGGCACATACGCCAACCTGATCATATGACTGAAAGAAGAATATAGAAAGCCTACCCACTCCTCTCCTATGTAGGCACTTTCATATATAAAGATGTCAGAAAAAGGGAAATCAAAAACATAGAAGATAGACACAATGCATTACTCTGTAATACAGAAAAAATTCCAGATGCTCCCTATGGCTGCAGCTGGAAAAAGGGCTGGGAAGAATTCTAGAGGCTATGTCCTTCAAGTTCTTTCTTGTTAAAATGATTAAAGTTATGTTTACCTGTCCTGCACTTGGCTTTGTATCTCCTGTTATCAAGTTAATTGTTGTACTTTTACCAGCTCCATTGGGTCCCAGAAGCCCTAAAACCTCTCCTACAAAGTAAAATATTTCCATTAAAATAGAGCCAAGTGAACTGACAAAAATTAATTAATAAGAACTCAGTATAAACTGATTTATTACATTATTTATTTAATGAGTATTGAAGTACCTTGGTTTATCTTCTTGAGTTGTATTCAAAACTATCAATCAATAAAATCTGTATCAAAGAGATACAGTACTCATACGTCACTGGAAAAGAACTCTGTCCCAGAATTAGTTTGTTCTCCTCTGACAGTTAGTTGTAGCCTCTCACCGCACCCCCAACTTATACAATTCATTCAACTTCCTGTTGTAAAGAATGAGGAAAACATCCAGGAGGAGGAATGAATGAAAAATAAAATTCTATTGCTTATATGAGGTTTCACCTTCATACCTTTAACAAAACAAGTCTTGCTTCCAACTACATGCACACTACTATATTATAAGAAAGAAAGTGAAAAGAAAGATATTCAGAATTTTTGTTCTGGTTAAATTTCTTTTATTTTAAGCTTATTCTCTTTAACATATCAGTCAGATATGATAAGTCAGTTAGGATTGTTGAGAAGTTAGTAGCAAAAAATCAGAATCTCACCACCCCAGCTCTGTTCTAAAATAGGTATGTGTATGTTGCTGTGGGATTGTATTTTGAAACCTAATGCTTAGAAATGAGAAATTGGTATGTTCTATCAAAGCTTGCTACTGTAATTGCTATAAAGTGCATTATTTTCTCGCTTCCCTTTTTGGACTACTTATTACAAGTGTCCTCAACTTACAACCATTCTTTTAGTGACTATTCAAAGTTACAACAGCACTGAAAAAAGTGACTTATGACCGTTTTCCACACTTTTGACTATTGCAGCATCCCCATGGTCATGTGATCAAAATTCAAATGACTGGCAATTGGATCATATTTATGACGATTATTGTTTCTCAGAGTCAAAAGGGAAGCGAAATCCACTTTACAACCATGATACTATCTTAACAACTGCAATGATTCACTTACCAACTATGGCAAGAAAGGGGCAAAACTTATTTAAGTGTCTCGCTTAACAACAGAAATTTGGGACTGAATTGTGGTCGTAAGTCGAGGACTAATTATATTCTTTTTGTTAAGTTTGCATTAAAAATGAATTTTGTGTCGTCTTGGTATGGATGGGCATTAACTATCCTCATACATTGAAGCAAAGGAAACCAGAGTTCATCAGGTCCCACAGTAGCTTTATTGTGTGCTGAGTGATTTATTCACAAAATACCCTTGTCCTCAATCATCACTCCAAAGTGGGAACTGAGAAAAAGTGTATTGTTTGACCTTAATTTGATAACAGCTTAACTCAATTCTGTAGTTCAATAATAGAATCTGATGGGAAATATGTTACATTTAATCTACCCTTACAGATCATTTGCTTGGGGAAATTCTGAACATTACTGTCCTAATTTGGCTCTCATTGTTTCAAACCCCACAATGCTTCTCTTACTTAATTTTTGCTTGTTAATGACTATAATAGATTTATAATAGAGACTGAGTAAAGAATATTGTTCATTCCAATCAAACCTTTTTTAACACAAAAGGAGACGTTTCTGGTAGCTACTTTTTTTTCTTCCTTTTTCTTCAAACAAGTCTTCTCATGTTTGTATTCCTTGCGCAAGTCATGGACAATGATAACTGGTTTCTAAGCAGAGAAAAGATATTGCTTACACTATATACACATGACCATTTTGCACTCTTAGTTGATCTAGATATGGATCATACCAAGCAATCTCTTTTGGTAAATTGCAGAAACAAGTAGAAGTGGCTACTTCTTATCAAGAGTACACCATTGTAACTCAACTTATCTCTGCTGGAAGCAGATTCCCAGTATCTTCAGATAGATCTTTCCCATTGTCTGCTTGCCACATTATTATCTAACTATGTGAACTATTTTGAAATAATAAGAAATATTTGTAGCTTGGATTTTAGATTTTGGCTGTGGCTTGTTCTCCAACCTTGTTTTAATATAATCGCTGCACATTTTGTTATCAAACTAGGTAACATCATCAACAGGATTTTCTTGTGCTATTCTCCTTAGCTCATAAGTGTCTTGTGTGCCACTGTGGTCAGTTGTTTGGAGCTATATTTGAATTCCGAGCAGCTGACTGGTTCTCTTGTTGATTGACACTTTGAATGGTCTTGGAGAACAAATCACAGCCAAAATCTAAAACTTGACCTACAGATATTTCCTATTATTTCAAAGATATATAGGCGTAAATTTATTGAGACCTGGTATTCCATCAAAGGAGCAGTTAACAAATATATTTATTTAGATTCAACATATCGATATGTAAGAAATCAGACTATTCGAAGTGCCAATCAATAAGAGAACCAATCAGCTGCTCAGAATTCAAATATAGCTCCAAACAACTGACCACAGAAGACGCTTATGGACTAAGGAGACTAGGACAAGAAAATCCTGCTGATAATGTTACCTAGTTTGATAATGAAATGTTCAGGAATTATATTAAAACAAGCTTGGAGAAGAAACCAAAGCGAAAATATGTAAACTATTATCTAAATAATAATTCCTTAAACTGACTTAGACAATAGAACAACAATAACTTTGTCAGTACCTCAGCCATGATGGTTTACAATAGAAAAGACAATACCTAGATCCCACTTATTTTAAACCTTCCACAAATTTCTTAATTTTTATTAAATGGTTTTGGACATTCTGGCATGACATCTACTTTGCAATCTCTTTCAAATGCTCTTCCTGCATGTTGTTCCTCTTATGGCATTTGGTTTCATTAAATAGCTGCTTGTTGCTTGATGCTAGTTTCCTGGAGGATTGGGTTAGACATTAATTATGTAAAAAGATTTTTGGCCTCCACCAACACCTCTCCATTCTAAGAATTGGAATCTTTCATCATCAAATACTACCACAAGTCAAAAGCAATTCATCTCTTTTGTGGAGATTCAGCTTATGCCCATAGCCTTCTCAGTGCCTAATCCTGCCTCCTCCTTAATAGCACCTAACACCTCCTAACACTGTGTACTCTGTACACAGAATCTTGCCTATCCAGATGACCCAGAACATAGAGCACAATTTCTTTCCAAATACTATCTTGGGATTTTTGGACTATGGTATTTTCTTACTTCAATAGTGCCTCAATACTCTTTAGGCATTCAAGGTAAATATATATTTGTAGTGTGAAGGTGCAAGGTAGAACACTATGCAGTATTGTGTATTTAGCTATATTTCATAAGCAAATCAAATATATTCTTGGAACAAGTTATACTTTTTTTTCAAAATAAGAAAAGCCAGTGCTACTTTACCTCTTCTTCATTGAGAGAAGCCAGTGCACTCTGAGCTCTTGTCCTTTCATCAAGGACATCTTTGTCATCTGCTTGGCTGAGCTCTTCAGGATTCTGATGGGTTCTTTTTCTCTGTGGAGAAATCCTAGATATCAAAGATATAATAAAAGATCTCAAGTGATTACATATCAAAGAATAAATGGTAATTTCAATTAGGAAGGCTTTGATATGGTCAACTGACTAATCAATAAAGTATACTATTACTATCACATTTAGGAAGGTAGCAGAAGGTTCAGAACTTCTGAACCATGTTGAGATTAAATGAGAAAGTGACTATGGGGAAGACCTTAGAAAGGAAAGAAACCTGACACATTAAGTGATTTCTGGCATAGAAGGTCTGTGTCTGCAAGAAGTAGTGGACTTTTTATCACCTGCTTCTTCACAGATTGTAACGGCCTTCCACCCACTTCTCCCAACAGGCAGAATCACATGTCTATCTTTTTGCTTTCTCCCTCACTGAGCTACCATAAATGGGTAACCAACATCCAAATGACCACTTGATAGTGGCAACAAGTTGGCATTTATTGCCATAAAAGGTGAGTCACTGACCATGATGGACTTAGTAAACTGTACCTCTTCGTTTTGTTTGCATTTTTTTTGTTTATGAGGCACACGACACATTTATCAAATGCAAATTCCATTTTGATATTCTCACTGTATAACTTCACAACTGAAGAAAATTGAATTTCATTTTCTGATTTCCTACATAGCTTCAAATCATTCATATATAACAGTTAAAATGCTTTTCTACTTTGCTTCACTGGTTCATGTTCAAATAGTGGTCGCGCAATGGTAAGAATGCAGTATTGCAGGCTAATTCTACTGATTGCCAACTGCCAACAGTTCAGCAGTTTGAGTCAGCCTTCCATCTTTCTGAGGTCAGTAAAAAATGAGGACCAGGTTGTTGGGGGCAATGTGCTGAATCTATAAACTGCTTAGAGAGGGCTGTAGAGCACTGTGAAGTGGTATATAAGTCTCAGTGCTATTCCTGTTGCTATTTTATTTGTTAAAAGGTTGAAATTTACATTGTGTAAAGAAGAATGTCTATAAAATAAGATATTATTGGTATATGATGACAGAGAAATTATCTAGAATGTACAAAGACACCCCTAATGTGTGTTGGAATGTAAAGAAAACATGAAGGGACATTTTATCATGCTTGATGGACATGTAAAAAGCCTTCAAAAATGGATTCAATGCATACTTTGATACAGATGATATTAAAGATTAATATTCAGTTGAAGCCAGAACTTGTTCTTTTAAGATTGATGGCTAAATAGTTAGAAAAAGTCATGGAAGATTATTATAATATATGGTTACTACAGCAAAATTATTATATGCACAAAGATGAAATGATTCATCATTACCTACTATGAAGGGAACTAGGAAAGTTAATAATACTTTACTGAAATGGATAAATTGACTTCTTTAATTAGAAAAAAATATATTATCTACATGTATTGGTGACTAGAAACCTCTTCTGGACTTTTTGAATAAAAATGAAAAAAAACTTCTGACAAAGAGGACTATGATGTAACTTTAGAAAGAGAAGCCAAAATATATTTCTACTTATAACTATTGTGAAGAATATTGGAAGCCACTTTATCTTTTTCCTTTCTATTTTTTTTTTAAAATCTCGTACTTTTCGCTTTCTTTTTCTTTTATCTTTCTTGTTTTATATTACTTTGTATGAGTTTTTAATTTCTTATTCAAAAGTTTTAATAAAAATTATATGTAAAAATATTATTTTATTCATAATATGAATGAGGGTATCACTTAGATTCCCCCCCTCAAATCCTGCTATACTGTGTCATTAAGCCTGGGAATTTTTTCTGGGATTGCATAAAACAAGGCCGTGAGGGCAATGAATGCCGCCACCTGCTTATTGGACCCGTGCCCCTCCTGGCTGGTTTCTGCCAGTAGGGAGGTGACACGAGGCTGGCTCCAGGCGATAATCAATGCCTCCTTGATGGAGGGGTCTTTCCTGCAACCTTTGAAGGAAGCGGTGGTGAGGCCCCTCCTCAAGAAGCCTTCCCTGGACCCAGCTGTTTTGAAGAACTTTCATCCTATCTCCAACCTCCTCTTTGTGGGGAAGGTTGTAGAGAAGGTGGTGGCGTCCCAACTCTTGCGATCTTTGGATGAAACGAATTATCTGGACCCTTTTCAATCTGGTTTCAGGCCCGGCTACAGCACTGAGACTGCTTTGGTCGCACTGACCGATGACCTCTGGTGAGGATAGGGGTCATTCCTCTATCTTGGTGCTTCTTGACCTCTCAGCGGCTTTCGATACCATCGACCATGGTATCCTTCTGCGTCGTCTCGGAGAGGTGGGGGTGGGCAGCACCATATTGCGGTGGTTCTCCTCCTACCTCTCTGACAGGTCGCAGTCAGTGTTGGCAGGTGGACAGAGATCGACCCCTAGGCGCCTCGATTATGGGGTGCCTCAGGGCTCGGTCCTGTCCCCCCTTTTTAACATCTACATGAAACCACTGGGTGAGATCATTCGGCAACATGGGGTGAGGTATCATCAGTATGCGGATGATACCCAATTGTATATCTCCATCCCGTGTCCTTTCAGTGAAGCAGTCGACGTGATGTGCCGGTGCCTGGAAGATGTGAGGGTCTGGATGGGGGTGAACAGGCTTAGACTCAACCCTGACAAGACCGAGTGGCTCTGGGTCTTGCCCCCCAAGGGTCATCCTGATGGTCCATCATTAGTCCTGGGGGGGGGGTAAATTTACCTCCCTCAGTGCAGGCACGCAACTTGGCTGTCCTCCTGGACTCACAGCTAAATTTGGAACATCTATCAGCTGTGGCCAGGGGGACCTTTGCCCAGGTTCGCCTGGTGCACCAGTTGCGGCCTTATTTGGACCGGGAGGCTCTACTCACGGTCACTCATGCCCTTGTCACCTCAAGACTGGATTACTGTAATGCGCTCTACATGGGGCTACCCTTGAAGAGCGTTCGGAGGCTGCAGTTGGTTCAAAATGCAGCTGCGAGAGTGATTGTGGGTGCACCAAGGTACACCCACGTGTCACCTATCCTCCGCGAGCTGCACTGGCTTCCTGTGGGTCTGCGGATGCAATTCAAGGTGTTGGTTATCACCTTTAAAGCCCCGCATGGCTTAGGACCAGGTTACTTACAAGACCGTATACTGCCGCATAGTTCCCAGAGACCGGTGAGGTCCCACAGATTGGGCCTCCTTCAGGTCCCGTCGGCCAGACAATGTCGGCTGGCGGGCCCTCGGGGAAGGGCCTTTTCTGTGGTGGCTCCGAGCTGGTGGAATCAACTTTCCCCTGAGATTCGAACTACTCCCACCTTGCTGGCCTTTAAGAAAGCCATTAAAACTCTCCTGTTCCAGCAGGCCTGGGGTTGATGTCCCCGGGGGGGGGGTAGGATACGATTGAGACATGCTGTATGAATGCACTTATTTTACTGTTTTATTGTTATATTTATTGTTTTAATTTTGTACGCCGCCCTGAGTCCCTAGGGATTGGGCGGCATATACATTTTAAAAATAAATAAATAAAACAAATATACAAAATATTAGTAATTTTCTTAATTATTAATTAGTAATAGTCAATTCTTCTTTTAATTCTTCTGAGACTAGTGCTAAGATTGTACTTTTGCTGTGCATCTTTTGCCATATTAAAGGGCTTGCGTGCTTCAGTAACATCAGGAGCTATGATGATGATGATAATGATAATGATAATGATAATAATAATAGTAATAATAAAGTTGGAAGGGACCTTGGAGGTCATCGGGTTAACCCCCCTGCTCAGGCAGGAAACCCTACACCATTTCGGACAAATGGCTGTCCAGTCTCTTCTTAAAAACTTCCAGTGTTGGAGCATTCACTGCTTCTGGAGGCAGGTTGTTCCACTGGTTAATTGTTCTAACTGTCAGGAAGTTTCTCCTTAGTTCTAGGTTGCTTCTCTCCTTGATTAGTTTCCATCCGTTGCTTCTTGTCCTGCCTTCAGGCGCTTTGGAGAATAGCTTGACTCCCTCTTCTTTGTGGAAGCCCCTGAGATATTGGAACACTGCTATCATGTCCCCTCTCGTCCTTCTCTTTGTTAAACTAGACATACCCAATTCCAGCAACCATTCCTTATATGCTTTAGCCTCCAGTCCCCTAATCATCTTTGTTGGTCTTCTCTGTACTCTTTCTAGAGCAGTGGTTCTCAACCTTCCTAATGCCACGACCCTTTAATACAGTTCCTCATGTTGTGGTGACCTCCAACAATAAAATTATTTTCGTTGCTACTTCATAACTGTAATTTTGTTACTGTTATGAATCGTAATGTAAATATCTGATATGCAGGGTGTATTTTCATTGTTATGAATTGAACATAATTAAAGCACAGTGATTAATCACAAAAACAATATAGCAATGCTCACTGGAGAAGCTTACTCTTCCTTGCTCAAAAATGTTGGGAGGGAGGGAAGGGGAAGAAAGGAAGTAAGATGGAAGGGGAAAGGAAGGAGATGAAGAAGGAAGGACTGATCTTTGGAGAGTCATGTTTTTCCAGATGGTGATGAACTGAAACTCCCAGCATTCCCCACTCTTCCACAGTGCTTTTTAGGGCTGCTGGGGATGGTAGTCCAGTAAGGTCTGGAGACACACACAGATGCCCTAGCAGGGAAAATTGGCTGGGTAATTGCTGCGGCTTTACTTGGAGGCATTCTGCAGCTCCTGAAAATCACTTTAACCAATTTTCCATGGTTCAGTAAAGGCAACAAGTAATAAAGCAAGCAATAGGTACTGGTAATAAAATAGCCCAAATTGTCCTTTCTCCGCACAATTGCCAGGGGAGGGGGGAGGCTCTGGCGGAGAGCCAAGCAGCGGCACCTCTGGGGCCTCAGAAGCCATGTGGAGGATCTGCGTGCCTCAGAGCCGCCGGCCGCCCTCTCACGCCCGCTAACCTGGAGCCCCCATCATCATCCGGCACCTCTTGCCCTCTCCCAGCTGACCCTGGGATCTGCCCACCCCTCCAGCCTCCTGAGTGCCATTGCAGTGGTGGGTTCACGAGAGCCCCTTTCCACGCCGCACAGCCTTTCACCGCCATGACCCTTCCCCGACTCGTCGCATGCGAGAGGGGCGCAACTGGAGTGCCAGCTCCTGCTTGGAAGGCACCGCTTCTCGCTTCCTAGCCCGATCGGCTGGCCTCCAATGCACATGTGGGCATCACTGCTGCCTCGCTCTCTTCCCCGCCGCCTGGCCGCTTCCGAGGCCCGAAGCCCAGCGAGCCGGGAAGGAGCCACTCCTGCCTGCCAGCCCCAGGGCCACGCCGAGTGCCAGAGGGCCGAAGCGGAGCGGAGGGCGGCAAGGCAACCAGGAGGCATGGGGATTGGCTCAGTGCCACAGCTCAGCTCAGCCAGCAGCAGCGGCAGCGGTGGCCCAGACCCGGCTCAGCCCGGCCGCCCATGCAGCTGAGCCAGCCTGGGGAGGCATTGGGGGCACGTGCGATGGTGTTGTGGTGGCAGGAGCAGGCACTGTTGGAGAAGGGTGCCCTGGAGGTGGAGGAGCCAGTGGAGAAGGAGGGCGGTGGCAGCGGCTGGATAGAGCAGCCGTGTCTTGGTTCCTAAGACCACCGGAAATATGTGTTTTCCAATGGTCTTAGGCGACCCCTGTGAAAGTGTCATTTGACCCCCAAAAGGATCACGACCCACAGGTTGAGAACCTCTGTTCTAGAGTCTCAGCATCTTTTTTACATCTTGATGACCAAAACTGGATGCAGTACTCCAAGTTGGCCTTGCCAAGGCATTGTAAAGTGGTATTAACACTTCACGTGATCTTGATTCTATCCCTCTGTTAATGCAGCCCAGCACTGTGTTGAGTTCAACCACACCAAACATGACTTGGTGGAGAGGTCAATGGATGGTCCAAACATAACTTAAAGTATGGTCCAAATACAAATTGTTATGATTGATTGCACAATCAATTTACCTTGGATTTGGCATTTTTATCCATCTATTGAATCTTCCCAAGGACTTGGGAGAGATAGTTGTTATAAGGAAATAGAAATAGAGTACAACTAGTAGCAAGATGATGGATTCAGTGATAGTAGAGATGGCTGTAGCATTAGAAAGCATGAAGGACAAGGTTAGGAAAGACTGTCATGTGGTTACTAAGAGTTGATTCCAATTTGATGGCATGTAATCAAACAATTAATATTAATATAAGTGCTTTCATTTAACTAACACACACATATAAAACACACTGTATGCATATTACAATATATACAAACCTAAAAATGGGATCTCTTCTCATAACAGTCTGGTCATATTTCATCACCAGATAACGCAGTAAAAATATGAGGATTATACCCTGCAAGTAGGGCTAAATAGAAGCAAAAATAGAAAATTACAATCATACATCCCGCAGTATAGTTATACAGATTATACAGAACAATGTTCTGATTGGTTCAGCAGGAATCAGAATAATCCTCAATTCACATTATGCTTCTGTCCAAACTATGGTTCTCTCTACCAGAATCATAAATTACAACTGTTTCATTAAAATGGCTTGCACACAATCACATGCAGTTTTTGAAATTAAGACATTAACATGCAAAGTTTTTAATTTACATTTTATCACAATTGCAGAATCAAGCTTACAAAGCAAATAGTTCAGCAATTTCATTGAGAAATGAAATAAATATAAAGACATAATAAATGTAGCTTCACAATTCAGTGGTGAGTTTGGTTTTATATCCAGTTTGCTGTACTCAATACAGAATTAAAATCTTTTTGAGCACTGAAAGCATATCCTGGGAGATCAAGTCCATTTCACTTCTCCATTGCTGTTGATCCTCTATAGAAGGTAAACAACAAGCAACAACCTACCTATGGAATCATTCTCCACAGATAGAGGGGACTGTGTAGAAAATGACTTAGAAGTAATCACACTGATTGGCAAGAAGTTTATTGTGGGATCACGGCCTGATTGCTAAGTAAAAAGCAGTTCTGGAGCATCTGTTTGGAAGATGTTCTCCTTCTCTGTTGGCCGTGGACATGAAAATGAAAGCAGTAAACAGAACTTGTTTCATTCTTCTCCAAACTCTGATCTCCAGGCTCCTCACAAGTTCATTCATTCTTTCAGATATAAGATATTCAGGCATATCACCTTCTCAGGAACAATAATAATTCTCATAATAATTCCCTGCAACTGTAGAAAGCAGACCTGCTTGCTATCACACTGTACCAGTGGTGTCACTTAAAAGGTAGGCAGTATATAGTATTAATGACTGCCTTTGCTTGTGCCATGGCCATATACTGAGGTCTAGGCCAAAAGGCTCCACCTCCATTTCACATCAGTGCTATACATGTGGGTGGGCGGGTGTGTTTTGAGGTAACTCACAGTTGGAATTTTGTGGTTTGGGACAAGCCCTCACCCTAGCTCTCATGATGAATATTATTATTTTCCTCATGCCTCAGCACAGTTAAAGAAATAATGCAAAATCTATTCCCAATAATAGTTAAACAAAAACCATTCCATTGAAACTCTGTGTATATATGTGAAGATGGCCCCCAGTACTATAAATAAATAAATACATTCAGTTCTCACCATGAAAGTAGATATAAAGAGCTGTGTCTGATTTGACATATCACCTTCCTCAATATAAAAGCCACTCAGCAGCTATTAACAAAGCAGAAGGAATTTTAAAAAAGGACAGTTATGTATTTTCCGCATTTCTATCTCATCCAAGCAAGGGCAGACTACCTGAGCAAATTCTTAATTCTAAATCCCTGTGCTTCCCCCCACCTCATTCCCTTCTGAGCACTTCCCCTCAGCAACTGCCAATCAGATGAGGGGTGGGGCAGGGAGCAAGGTGGCTGTCTGGAAGCTCTGGAGTCTGAAGCCTCTCAGTAAACAGACTCAGCTGATTCCCAAAACCCAGGAAGAAAAGCAAAGAATCTATGAGTTGAATAGCTCAAGTGTAGGCAGAGAAAGGGGCAAGGAAAAGGAGGCAGCAGCTGGGAAAACCAGAGAGAGAGAGAGAGAGGGAGGGAGGGAGGGAGGGAGAGAGAGAGAGAGAGAGGGAGAGAGAGAGGCGTTGAATTCCTTCCCTCTGGCCTAGTCTGAGGGAAAATGTCTTCCAGCTGTTTCCCTCAGACTGAGTCAAAATTTGGAAGAGGAGAAGAATCAAGAAGCCCAGCTGGGAATAAACAAGAAGAAAAAGGTTAAGACATTTTGTCCAAACAGAAATAGAAAACAAACTAAAAGAGAGAGGGGGGGGGGATGTTATATCAAAGGTGGAAAAATTCTGAAATGATTTATCTTGGTTTGATTTTTTTTTTACATCTCAAAAACCTGTGATTTTAACAGGAGTGTATAGAATTTATATCCACTGTACCATAAAAGCTATGATAGCTGAACCTATTTCTTGCTCACTACAAAAATGCATTTTATTAGTACTGAGCAGAGAAATTCTCCTGATTTATTTTTCTACCACTCAGTCTGATCAAACAAAATTCACTTTGAAGGAAAATTGAATTTTAGTGAAATCTCCAGTTTTGGAATGTCACTGGGAAGAGGCAGCCCTGCCCTTGAGGAATTGTTGGTTCCTGGGAAAAATTCAGAGAACTTTTTTACTGAATTATTCCCTAAACAAACTGGGGGGATGAAAAACTGCTTATGCTCAGCTCCAATTTTCATAAGAACAGGCTAAGAGTTAATAAATAATATTGCACTTACATTTGTAAAAGAAATTATAAAAGTCGTAACTGGAAACATAGGAACAAAAAAACCTAACAGATGGTTTATGTAGTTCTCTGTAATCAAACTTGTCATGATACTTATTATGAACAAAAGCAGCATGACCTAAAATGAAAGAAGAAAGTATTTTAATATTTTTTAACAAATGAAATCACTTTATCCATTTTTTTCTATAACCTCTGTCTTGACTTAATACATTATATGATGATTTCAATTAAACTCCCCTTTTACATTTGATCATTGCTATCCATGAAGCAGAGACTGCTTTTGTTCTCCTTGTGTTCCCCTTCCTTCTTTTTGCTTTTATAATTAAACCTGCTGGGGAAAATGAGATTTACTTACCTTATTTTTTTCACCATTGAATAATACAAAATATTTCTAACTGAATCACGGTGGGATGTTCAAACAACTTAAGTAGATGAAACATGGCAATGAACACTTACTCAGTTATCAAGTAATTTCTTGCTTAATTCCCACCCCACTACAATTTACTTACTGGTGTCAGCTCAGGGGTGCCAAGAACCAGAGGGAAGGCACCCCATGAGACACCTTAAATCTCAAGAGCAACACTATCTTGCTCATTCTTGAACTTTATCTTCCTGAATGCCTCAGGTCTTTGATGTCAAACTTACAATGACATTAAGAGGCATGTATATCCAATACATGTACTGCTGAGAGGAAAGCAATACCCTCCCCCAAAGTAAGCCTTGCAAGTGAGATTGGATCAGGAAGACAACTCTGTAACTATTGAAATTGGCTATAGTTTCAGAATCTTTCAAGTCTGAGTGTGCTTTTTCTCCCCTCTTTCTTACACCCCAAGGAGACAGGGAGGGATCAGCCTGAGTCTCTTCTTAATACAGTCTCCCTTCCCAGAACTTAAGGAACACTTCTGTCCTGCTGTCCTTGTTTGTGCAAGATTCCTACTGTTTGCTTTAAGGTTATTTCCCTGTCTATAACCAGCATGCAAAAGAGCAAAAATTCTGTCCCACAAACTAATCTGTCTCCATAGGAAATAGCTGCTACACCTACATGCCGGGTACATGGTGGGAAGTAGCAACAGAATGGTGCAGTGCTTAGCCTTCTTTTAAAACCCAGAAGCGCTTGAAAGACAGCTTCCATCTTCCAGTAAGTTCTCCTAACCACAGCCTTTCTGGCCAGCAGTGTGACCATAGAATCTTCCAGGTCACGTAGTTGTCAACCAAGAATACATTAGGCTGCTTTCAACCATCCCTTGTTAAGAAGAGGCCCCTTGCATATGGATACATTGGCTATATACTTACTAAAATAGAGATGACTGACCAAAAACTGGCAGCATGCTTTTTGTGGCGAAATACGAAGGCAGTTATGTATAGGAATAAAATAATCGATATACTGTAGCCAAGGAAAAATGCCACCTGCTCAAAAGAAAGCTCTGTATTAACAATTGGCTAATATCTTACCAAGAAAGCAGAAATTTCTCCTTCATTCTAATAGCTTATAATAATGTTTTTTCTTCTGTTTAATCATAGATATCTCTACAGTGCTTTACCATTGCCTCCTTCTTAGGGCTGAGAGAAAGTGACTGACACAAGATCATTCAGCTGGCTCATGCTTAAAGCAGAACTAGAACTCAGGGTCTCCTAATTTCTAGCATGAATCACTACACCAAACTCTCTCTTTTATAATAATTTCATATAATGCTTTAAGTACAAGGAACCTATTTACCAAACTGACATAGCAAGTATTTTAGTTAGTGAATTTGAGTGAAATTAACTTATTGTAAAGCAGTTTGTGACAATTTATGCAGATGAGTACATTGCAAAGCTTGGTCATCAACTTTGAAACATTACAGCCAAAGAAAATCCATATCCTTGAAAGAAAGAATGTCAAAATCTTTGCATTGTGAAGGCTAAGAACAGTAGCAAAGTAAAAAAGTGATCTTAGGAAATGCTACTGCAAATTAAAGGTCCATTAATCTATACTATTTTTAATCAATGTATTTCTCTTTTTTTCTTATAAATGCTATGCCCAACGCCTGGCAATATTTTTGCAATATTTTATATTCCCTACTCTTTTTTCCTCATTATATGAGATGGATCGGTAGGTATGATGTAATATATCTTCGACCAATTCAATTTATTTTTACTTTCCTCACAGGTAATCCTCAACATACAATCATCCATTTAACAATGGCCTCAGAAAAAGTGACTTATGATCCACCCTCAAAGTTACAACCTTCACCCCACCCCACAGTCATACGATTGCAATTTGGATGGTTGACAATCAACTCATATTTACAATGATTGCATATCCTGCAGTCACATGAGTATGTGTAAGCAAAGTCAATTAATTAAGTCAATTACAAGCAGATTTACTTAATGAGCATGTGATTCATTTAACGGCCATGGTAAAAGGGTTGTAAAATTGGGTCCTGTCATGTGATGTCTCTCTTGCATTGCTTAGCAGCCAATATGGTCACTGTCCTGATTGTAATCGTAAGTTGAGGACTACTTATATTTGTTCTTATCTTTCTTGCTGGTGCTAGGCAGTTTGAGTAAGGTTATGGCAATGTGTCTAAATAAACCCCCCTACAAACCCCACTGGCCATTAACCACAACTGTCTTCTAAAGGTGATGAATGGGGGCAAAGTTCCTCTCTCAGTTTACTGCCAGTTTATTGCTAGTTCATTGTTGGGGAGTGGCTTTTTCAGACAGTTGATGATCAAAGACATATTCCTGCCATTCAAGGTCTGTAGAAGGACTTACAAGTAGTCCTCAACTTACAATCACAACTGAGTCTAAATTTCTGTTGCTAAGTGAAACATTTGTTAAATGAATTTTGCCCCATTTTATGACCTTTCTTGCCAGTTGTTAAAATTATTATAATAATTATAATAATAATAATAATAAGCGTTGGAAGGGACCTTGGAGGTCATCAAGTCCAACCCCCTGCTCAGGCAGATAACCCTATATCATTTCGGACAAATAGCTGTCCAGTTTTTTCTTAAAAACTTTCAGTGTTGGAGCATTCACTGCTTCTGAAGGCAGGTTGTTCCACTGGCTAATTGTTCTAACTGTCAGGAAGGTTCTCCTTAGTTCTAGGTTGCTTTTCTCCTTGATTAGTTTCCATCCATTGCTTCTTGTCCTGCCTTCAGGCGCTTTGGAAAATAGCTCGACTCCCTCTTCTTTGTGGCAGCCCCTGAGATATTGGAACATTGCTATCATGTCCTCCCTCGTCCTTCTCTTCATTAAACTAGACATTCCCAATTCCAGCAACCGTTTCTTGTATGTTTTAGCCTCCATTCCCCTAATCATCTTTGTTGTTCTTCTCTGTACTCTTTCTAGAGTCTCAACATCTTTTTTACACCAAAACTGGATGCAGTATACTAAGTATGGGCTTATCAAGGCATTGTAAAGTGGTATTAATATTTCACGTGATCTTGATTCTATCCCTCTGTTAATGTAGCATAGCACTGTGTTGGCCTTTTTGGCAGTTACAGCACATTGCTGGCTCATATTTAAGTGATTGTCACTAGGACACTGAGATCCCTCTCACAGTTACTACTATTGAGCAAGGTACTCCCTATACTATATCCGTACATTTGGTTTTTCTTGCCTAAATGTAGAACCTTACTTTTTTCACCATTGAATTTTATTTTGTTAGATAGCGCCCAGTGTTCAAGTCTGTCCAGATCCTCCTGTATCCTAAGCCTGTCTTCTGGAGTGTTGGCTATTCCTGCCAACTTGGTGTCATCTGCAAATTTGATGAGTTCCCCATCTATCCCCTCGTCCAAATCGTTGATGAAGATGTTGAAGAGCACTGGGCCCAGAACAGAGTCCTGGGGCACCCCACTACACACATCCCTCCATGTAGATGCAGTTCTATTGAGGACCATATGCTGAGTATGGCTGGTCAGCCAGCTACGGATCCATCTGGTGGTAATGCTGTCTAACCCGCATTTTTCTATCTTATCAAGTAGTAAGTTGTGATCTACTTTGTCAAATGCCTTACTAAAGTCCAAGTAAATTATATCCACAGCATTCCTCTAGTCCACTAATTTTGTCACTTGGTCAAAGAATGCAATAAGATTTGTCCGGCATGATCTATTTTTGACAAACCCGTGTTGGCTTTTAGTAATGACTTTGTTTGCCTGTAGATGTTTGCTGATTCGTTGTTTGATTATCTTTTCCAGAATCTCCCCAGGTATTGAGGTCAGGCTGATAGGTCTGTAATTTCCTGGATCCATTTTTTTCCTTTTTTGAAGATGGGAACTACATCAGCTCTTTTCCAGTCCTCCGGTAGTTTCCCAGTGCTCCAGGATCTTTGAAAGATATAGTTCAGTGGTTCTGAGATCACATCTGTCAGTTCCTGAGAACCTTGGGGTGTAATCGATCTGGTCCTGGTGATTTGAACTCGTCTATCATTTTCTTGCCTATCTTAACTTGTTTTTCTATTCTGTTTTTTATCGCACTATTTTTGATAGGTTGGTCTGTTTTTTCCCTTTGTGTAAAGACAAATGTGAAAAATGAGTTAAATAGTTCTGCTTTCTCCCTGTTGCTTGTCACCTTCTTGCCATTTTTCCCACTAATGAACCAATCATTTCCTTCACTTTACTGCAATTATTAAGTTAGTCTCAGAGTTGTTAAGTGAATCTGGCTTCCCCATTGACTTTGCTTGTCAGGAGGTTGCAAAAAGCAATCACATGACCCCAAGACACTGCAACCGTCATAAATATGAATCAGTTGCCAAGTATCTGAATTTTGATCATGTACCCATGCTGCAAAGTCTTAAGTGTGAAAAATGGTCATAAGTCACTTTTTACAGTGCTGTTGTAACTTTGAACGGTCGCTAAATGAGCTGTTGTAAGTTGAGGACTACCTGTGTTCTGATTATTATAAAAAGGTAGACATGAATGCTTGTCAATAAAAATTATAAATGTAAACCTGAATTTTCATTCATGTTAAAAATGAATGAAATTCAATTACCAAGCAGGAAATCAAGCTGGGTATAAAGTGAGGGCTTGCAACTCCTATTTTTAAAAACCACGGCCAAAGAACTAAAATAAGTAGAAGGCAATGCAGGGGCATATCCACCAGAGCTTGTCCACACCAGTAGGCAGAAGGAAAAAGTCCTGCAATTCGCAGCTGGGAGCGAGTTCTTATCTAGTGAAAAAAGAGAATAAAAATACCAAATAATGACTAAACTATTTAATTAAAGGATTGCATAAATTCAATTCAAAAAGATGACAGAAATAAATAGAATATACTTTTTTCTTCCCTCCCACAACTTTCATCAGTATATTGATATATCATAACAAAGCCTAGCAGCCTTTCATAGCCAACCAGCCTAGTCTGAATGTCCCTCCTCCCTCTCTGGTTCCTTCCTATTTACAAATATTATCATACGAAGACACTTGGTTACTTATATTCATTGTTTAATATTGTAGCAGAAAAGTTAAATTTTGTCCTAAATCTAGTAAAGGTCGCTCTTGTTTAGGACAACCTCCCCCAAAAGACTTACATGACTCCTAGAAGGTAACTTTTTTCTAGCTATAATCTCAGCCTGTGAATCCTTAATTAATCATCAGCAACAGCAGCAAAACTCTTTTAAGACACGGATTCAAACTCGATCGCATCATGTGACATATTGTGACTTTTTTTGCCTTTGTGGAGCCGGGGTGGGCATGGCCTGCACATGACATATCCAGCCTGGGGGCCACCAATTTGACTCCCCTGTCTTAAGAGAAAAACTGGTTGCGCTGTGTAGGTTCCCTTCAAACCTTTACTTTGGATCTGGATGGATTTCCAAATAAGTATAATTTGCATGTCAACTCTGCAATGAACCTGGCTGAAGCCATTTTGCTTGTTTTCAGTTGCCACAAGAATGGGGGAGGAATAAGGAGATTTATTCTAGTCTAAACAATTCTCTGTCCCATGGGAACCAAGGCCATTCCTGTTCGTTAGACCAAACTATTCTTTTGGGAAATGCAGTTGATTGCATAGTTTCTGGGGAGGGAAGTTAACTTTGTCATAATGTAACTTTTTGGAGGAAACTTTAGTCTTGGTTTCTGTGATGATCCAGGGCATAGCACAGAGGCAATGCAGTCAGCTGGCAATTCAAACAGTTCTTTTATTGCTCCAAATTTTCCCCAAATGCTCCCATGTTTGCTGGCAAGCCTCCAACAAAATAACACACACACACCTTCAGCCAACTCTGGCTGAAAATAGGTTCAAATACAGTCTGATTAGCATAAGAAAGTATTCAAGGCCATAGAGATAACAAGGAAGAAAACATAGACTTAACGAGTCTGTTTGAATCCTAGCTTGCCTGAGCAGTATCCAAAAGAGAGAATCTGAAATACAGTCCGATAGTCAAAATTTCCAGGTTTCCAAACAGAAGCAACAATGCACAACATTCCAAGGAATCAGCATTTGTTCCCAACAAATGTCTCACCCCACAGTGTCTCCTTAAATCTCAATCCCCAGGTGTGCCTTGTGGAATGGGGTGGAACGCTCTCCTCCCAAGTAATTGAGCCTGCCTACATTGTTCCCTCTTCTCTCACTCTCCGTGCTCTAGGATCAGGTGAGGGTGGGCCTTGCTCATTGCCTGAACTCTGTCTCCCCTGTTCCAATACTGAAGGGCCCTGCCTGCCTCAGCCTGCTCTTCCCCACCGTCCTCTGAAGCCACAGACACCTCTCCTTCGGCCTCCATAGGGTCCTGTTCCAGCTCCATTTCCTCCTCAGATTCAGGCTCAGATAGAGGCATGACAGTTTCACTTTTGACCGTGCCAATACTTTGTAGTCAATAAACAGAGGAAAACTCAAGCCTTGGAGTTCTGTTCTAGTTGGCCTCATCTATCGGAACCATTACATTAAACCAAGACTCATTGAATCTTTAATACTCAGGGTTCTGAGGTCCAGTCCCTACCTAACACCTGTAGAAGGATGGCAAAGACTCAAGGAAGAATCTGAAATGGAGAAGAGAGGAGAAGTGTTCTCTAGCCTCAGCGTGACATCAGCTGCCAGAACATAGGCTACTGCCCAGGCAGAGAGTGCGACTCCTGCCACTGTCGCATAGCCAAAGGTCTGGGTGATCCCATCGGAGGATCAGGGGCAATCGGAGGGAATCTTGATCCTGGGAGAACTTGGTCAACCAGAAACCACTTCTTGGTGATGGAGCACCCCTAAAGCTGCTGAGCTAGACTTCCCACTGATTTCATCCCACTGCCTTTGTTCACATGTGCTGAGAAAGGTGAAGCAGCCAGCTGGTTGGGATGAATCGGGGGAGTGGAAGTACCTGACTGCCCTTCACAGCCACTCTGTTGAGAGTCAGAGAGAAGTTTGACCAACTCGAAGTGGGAGAAGTAGAGCCAATTGCTTGCCATCTGATCTCTGGTGGACAAGACTGCAGAAGCTCTCTAACACTCCCCCCTCCCCAGCAAATTCCAAGCCCAGTTGTAATGGCTCATGCTGCTTCACCAGTACCCTGGTCAATCTCGGCATCAAGTCCTGTATGCTGGTGTAGTCCTGAAAGAGTTTGGCACCCTGCAAGCCCGGGAGCCCAGCCGAGAGGGTTTCACAATGTGGTTCCCCCACAACTTCAGCGCTAGTGACTAGGTATCCAGCAAGTCTACTGGGGACAACGGCTTGTAAATTCATCTCCTATCAAACCCACATTTGATAGAGACTCTGAGAAGCTGTCTTTCTTCCTGAACCAGGTGTGGGCTCACCTGAACTGCTACACTCATGCTTACCCCGACAGGGCCGGGATGATTGATGCCATAGCAACAAATCTAGAGGGGGAAGCCACCGAGTGGGTGACCACCCTACATGATGAAAAGGCACCAGAATTGTGGAACATCAACCTGCTCATGGGTGAGCAGAGAGCCAGGTTTGAAGATGAGTCTCAAGCCCTGCAAGCCAAGAAGGATATCCATGACCTGAAGCACAGAGGAAGACCAACTAAAGATTACATCCAAGAGTTTCAGAAGGTGGCTGGCAAGCTCAGACAGTGGCCAGAGTGCTCACTAATCTGCCACTTCAGAGCGGGGCTAGACTGTGATGTGTTCCAGGCGTGCACCTACCAAGGAGTTCCTGATCAACTCCGTGAATGGTAACGCATGGCTATAAACCTGGATATAGAACTGGACTGCCACCCAAGGCATGCCACCTCTGAATTCAGACTGAGGCAGGTCCAGTATAGGAGACCCCAAACCAAGAGTGCACCTGCCGCCACCGCAAAACCAAAGAGGAAGCCTCGTTCTGTGCAAGAAAAGTCAAATTGGGCCAGCCAAGAGCAAGCTGTCTGGGTCACTTCTCCATCCCAGGAAAAAGTGGAAACTCTGCCGGAACGACTCCCGATGCCAGCACCGTATGACAGTGATGATGAGGGGGGAAAATGACCTAATGGTGAATCAACCCATCCCATCTTTTAACATTTCTGTGAAAATCATAGTACCCAAGACAGAAGCCCAAATGGACTTAAGCGTCTTAATCAACTCGGATTGTACCATATGCACAATCAACCTCTCTACAGTGCTAAAGCTAGGAGTTCATGCTAAACTACTGCCCCTAACCATGAGGTTTGAACAGGCAGACGGGTCTCTCATCAGGGCAACTCCTGCCACGCACCTAACTGAGCCACTGCATTTGGAAATGGAGGAGCATTGGGAAATCATCCACTTCATAGTGGTCCCAAAAATGACTGAGACCATCATTCTTGGATTAGCTTGGCTTGATAAATATTGCCCCTGGATTTGATGGGAAGATGGAGTGAGGACATTAAGATTAGCGAGGGGACCCCTCCCTCCTACCACACTCAGGGGAGTACGAGGAGCAGTCGGTACTGAAGATGAAGGACAGCCCCTTGAGCTATTGAGAACTGCCATAGAGCCCATTCCAGGGACCCAACTTATACCAAGTGAGTACTGAGATTTAGCAGAAGCTTCCAGTAAAAAGGAATGTGACATCCTTCCCCCCCCCCCCCAGGCAACTGACTGTGCAATTGAAATCCTACCGGGAGCCAAACTCTCAAAGCCAAATATGTAGTCATTGACGCCCAGAGAGTTAAAAGAACTGAGGGAGTACACTGACTAGAATCTAGCCAGAGGTTTTATCCAATTTGCAAAACCACGCATGGCTGCCCCCCATTCTGTTTAAGAAGAAAACAGATGGATCACTGATATTGTGCATTGATTTTAAAGGGTTAAATGCGGTCATGGAAAATATGTACCCCCTTCCCTTGATGAAGGACATGTTGGCCCATTTGGCGAAGAGAAAGTTTTTCACAAAATTGGACCTAAGAGAGGCTTATTACCAGTTGCGAATTAAAGAGGGGGAAGAATGGAAAACAGCTTTCAATAGTCCTCTAGGAAGCTTTCAGTTCAAAGTTATGTCATTTGGCCTCCAAAGGGCCCCTGCTGTGTTCATGCAATTAATCAATCAAGTGTTGCATGATCATCTATATAAAGGAGTCCTATTCTATCTTGATGACATCCTTATTTACACTGGAACCATGGTAGAGCATGTAAGATTAGTGCACTAAGTGCTCAGAAAATTACTGAAAGCAAAACTTTATGCTAAACTCTCTAAATATGAATTCCATCGAACATGTCTCTACTACCCTGGGTACAGTATCTCCAGCAAAGGGGTAGAGATGGACCCAGCCAACATGTTCTTAGAGGAAAACTCAAGCCTAGGAGTTCTGTTTCAATTGGTCTCATATATCGGAACCATGACATTGTACTGAGAGGAAGAGGAGGATGGAAGACGAAAACTATACATTCACACAGATTATGACATTAATGTTGGTTTTATCAATGAAATGACCTTTCTGGATAAACTAACTTGTTCCTTTCATACAGTTTTAGATATAAGCTCCTTTTTATTGTCTTAAATCTTCTAAAATCTTGTTACAACAATTATATCTTTTCTTTTTGCATTGGGCATTGTTTCTCAATGTAAGTTTCTTTCAGTGTTGCATCACTCTTTAATGTAATAGTCATAGTATAACAGGGCAAAGGATATATGCAGCAAAAGCTACACACTTGCCTCAAATATCAGGTTGCATGTATGTAATGATGTTATTGGCCTGATGATGTCACTGTTTGCATGTCATCAATTTGTCATCATCATAGTATGATAATGAAACTCTGGAAGAGCATCCTTTCAGAAATACATATGGCTTCTACCCTTCAAATGTTCTGAAAGTCTTTTAAGGCCAGACTCTCTTCCCATGCCTTATATTTTGGCGCTCCTCATTATTTTCCAGAGGTGTTATATATGTAGTTTTATCTTTTGAAATTAGCAGGGTCCGTAAGATTATCTGGGACACTGCGCATCCTCTTCATGACCTGTTTTCCTTGTTACCTTCTGGGAGGAGGCTCTGTGGTATCCGAAACAGAACATCCAGATTCAGCCATAATTTCATTCCATACAGTATTAACCTTGTGAACTCTCAAGCTTCCTCCTTCTGTTATATATTCAAGATAGACAGTGTTTAATATTTATTTGTTATGTATATGTAGGGGTGTGGGTCTATACATATGTTGGATATAGAATGTTTAGGTGTGTGTCATGCGTGTGTTCACTTTGAGAGCGGGCAACTAAATTTCATTTTTGATGTGTGCCGATGTGCCCACAGTAAAAAATGACAATAAAGGTTATCTTATGTATTATTTTAAATATTAATTATGTATTATTTTAAATATTGTAAGCTGCCCAATTGTTTTGTTTTTGTAGTTTAGGCAACCTTGAAATCCAATCAATCATTTTTTTTAAAAAAATAATATATTTGTATTTTTGGGGGATAGCATCAATACAAAGTCAAGAGAACTGCGAGAAATAAATTCTGAATACAGATATTGTCCATCTGTAGCATCTGACAGAATCTTTTAAATCACTCCTGCTGTCATTTGCAGATGCCACATGAAAGTACAATATAGGCAAATCTTAATAAATCTTTGAAGAAATCAAAGAAATATAATTATTTTACCATGTAATCTTCATTACTTCGCATTGCAAATTGTGGTGGAAAAGCAGGTAATACAACTGATGCCGCAATCATGTAAATTTCCATAAACATCCAGAATTCAGGATTTAAATTAGTCTGAGGAATAAATTAAAATATGTTTTAATCCATTGTGATAAAATGTCATAATAGAATAGCTATATTATTAACATAAATGCTAGTCTAGACCTGTCACATGACCATTTACTTTTTTAACCACATAGAATTGTGTCATCAAAACAATTTTGATCTGGAATGATTGCATAAAATTCAACTTACCCTTGAATGACTGGGGATGGGACAACATTGCAGGAGATATTCACTGAACATCTTAAACTCTCCCACCACCTATGCTCCCTAGCAATCGCCTTTTACATAATATCTTGAAAACTATGATTAGATTATATTTGAAACTAAACAGGAATATTTTCCCTGTTGCTTCCTGCACACACAAAAAAAACTTCATTTGATATTCCTCTGGAATACTTACACTGATAAATACATGATTCCAGGTTCGAAGATGGGCAGTAGAATTAAACATATGCAAAAATGCATTGCTGATGATGTTGACAAGCACCGGAAAGCAGTTAGTTATCTCCATATGGCACATAAGTGTGAACTTGTATTTCTGAACCAAGGCAAGAAGTTAGAACACAAGGGACACAAGTGAGGAACGTGCTAGGAGAATAAAAGTTCTAAAGAATGTAATTTACATAATTGCAAACTTAACTTATAATAAAAGCCAGTTGCTTTTTTTCTAATTTGAAGAAAAGCAAAAAATATGAATGCATCTTTTTTAAAGTAAGGTCTAATTTGGCCTTTGAACTGAGGTCTTAATTTCCTCCCAAAGTATGTGGGATCATAACAAAGAAGTAGGCAGGACCAGGACAAAATTAATAACAGTATGATTATTTCAGACGTATTTTATATTTTCTCCTTATGGCATATTAAAAATTTCAGTTTAGCAGCTACTCTGGTGATTCACTGTGGACCATATATTGTGGACCTCTGACATATGCATGCTATGTCTTAGGTATGCCCATCAATTAAAGCATAACACAGCCATCCCACAGAAGTGTCATTAGAAATTTAATAAAGTTTTAAATTATTTTTTAGAATCGAAACCAAAAGTCTCGATCATTAAAAAAACCCACATTCTTAGCATAGTAAAATAAAAATTCATCATATTAAAAGAATTGAAATCTACCACATAACAGCCTTCTTTGCATCTATACAATGTTATTTGCACTACTAGAAATGCTGTATACTTTTGATGAGAAGTTATTGTGTTTTTAGCATGTCTTCCTAATAGCTGTTTTACTTAAAAATATGCAAGCAAAGCAGAATACAGGCAAATGTATTCCTTCAAATAAACAATATATTTACAAAGCTAGGATCTAATTTCCAGAGAGCATTCAGGAATATCACCAATCCCCAGTTTCAGTTTCAGTCTATGTAGAAATACCTCTTATTAAATTCAAATGTCAAATCTATCTTCAAATTATTTGTGACCTCCCTTGAAGATGTTAAATTCCCTTTGTTATTAAATTCCAAAGAGATTTCCATCTATCAAGCTATAACACTACTTTTATGGAAAGTAGTAAATTATAACATAGTTTCATGCCGTGGGGTATTTTGCAGGGCTATAATTATTTAACTTTTCCCCATTTTTCAGCTTTTTTCATTCAGATTCAATAACGGGCAGTCTTCAGCTTTCCAAATGCTGATCTCTATAAGGCCCATAAGTGTTATCAACAATGTTATGTTTTGCTTTGGAATTTATTTTTAAGGCGTAAAGAACAAAAAACAAAACTGAACTATCAGGGAAGGATTTCAAAACCCTCTTCAAATAATAGGAACAGCAACATCAGCAGGAGCAGGAACAGAGCAGAATAGAACAACAGAACAGAACAGAATACAATCATAGGGTTGGATGGGACCATGGAAGTCTTATAATCCAACTCCTTGCTCATGGCAGGAGACCTTACATCATCCCGGACAAATGGTTGTCCAGTCTTTTCTTTAAAACTCTAGCGATGGAGCATCCACAACTCCAGGAGGCAAGCTGTTCCATTAGTTAATTGTTCTCACTGTCAGGAAATTTCTCTTTAGTTCCAGGTCGGATTTCTCTTTAACACACTTCTATCCATTGCTTCTTGTCCTACCCTCAAAAGGTCTGGAGAATAGGTTGGTCCTCTGTCACCCCTAATTCTTCTCTTTCTTAACTAGACATATCTAGTTCCCTTAACCTCAACTATCTCTTATTCCGCAGAGCCCTTACCATCTTAGTTGTCCTTTTCTGCACTCTTTCTAGGATCCCAGCATCTTTTTTGTATCATGGTGACCTGAACTGGACACAGTATTCCAAATGTGGCCTCACTAGTGCAGTATAGAGCAGCACTAATTTTTTGTGATGATGATGCTACAGTATCTGTCTGCTAATTCAGCCTATGATGTATTGGCTTTTTTGGCAGCTGCAGCACACCACAGGCTCATACTTAACTGATGGTCCGTGTTATGTCCCGAGCCTTTCAAACGGGCTCGGGGCGTTTGCAGGCAGTCCCGGGCAGGTGCAAGCTGCCCGGGACCAGACAGGCTGTCGCCAGCGCCTTGTGCATGCGCGGGTACTGGCGCGGGAAAAGTAACACATTGACCCGGGAATTGCCTATATAAGAGGCTGGGAGCTTTTGGGCGTTGCTGAAGCCTTCACCTGTAAGCTGAACACAGAATAAAAGGAAACTTGAGAACTACAACTGCTTCTCGTGTCTGCTTTCGCCAAAGGACTCAACAGTCCACAACCTAGATCCCTCTCAGTTACTGCTGTTGAGCCAGTTATTCCCTACCCTTTATCTGTGCATTTGATTTTTCCTGCCTAGGTTCAGGACTTTATCTTTTTGAAGGTATGCAACATTTGACTATTTGGCTATTCTCTTTTGGATTTGGGGTCCATTTTAGACTATAGATGAAGAAGTAGTCTTTTCTCTTCTTTTCTGTTGCTATGACTCCACTAAATTAGCACATTGTTCATCTCTTCAGATAGTCATATTAGATTCCATGGTCTATTCTCAAAAAGGAGGAAAAAAACTTATAGTTACCTTGTTTTCAAGGTCTACTTTTATGGCCCCATTGTGAACCAGCTGGTCACTGACTATGTTACCAGAGATGACATCCATCAGGATGTTTTGACTCTTCAGTGCCTGGATAAAATTATCAATTTTTTCACCTGAAAAAGAAAAAAATAATAATATGAATTTGCAGGATAAACAAAAAATGATCCAAAAAATGAACAGTACAGAATTTAAATGAAATTATTGATTAGGATGGGAAACTATGGCCTCCAAACATTGCTGAATGAAATTTCTCAGCCAGTGTAATTCCCCTTAATGAAGCTTATATAAAGGTATAATTCTTACACACTGATTTTAAGATAATATAATTCAGCAGGTATTGTCTCAAGGAACTTAAATGTGCCCGGAGTGCCAATCATTATAAGAAGATCTAACACTTTAGAAGGAACAATTTTAGACAGGTTTTCTAGTTGTTCTTCAATTGGCCATACTACTTAATACAATAGTTTATGAATGATATATGCTGGTTTCCAAATGTCTTTTAAGAATAAGAGAGATTGCACAATTTGTTGCTTGAACTAACACTCCATTGCAGTATACCCATTTTCTGCCCCTTTTTATTTTTATTTGTCTTTTATAAACCAGCACCAAGGGGAGAGATTCCCAATTTGAAACTCATAAATCTTGGTACTTACTCACTGTAGATATTTTAAGCCAACAAGCTGCTGATTTCTAAATTGCTAAAACATAGTTGAAATAGTGCTGGATCAAAATGTCTCCTAGCTCAGCAAAGGAATGGGTGAGGAATCTCCACTTAGATTTATTGTAGTGTACCTGAGCTAACTTTGTGCTATATTTCAGGTATCTTCTTGAAGTTTCAGTGTGCAACTCAACTTCTTTTTCATCTAGTCCCTTCTTTGTCTTTTTGTCCTTTTATCTCTTTGGCTGGTAGAAAGGGATAAGATTTCCCAGCATAAATCACTTGTATTTCATCTTGATTTTCTCCAGTCAGATCACTTTAAAATAAGACTGTGCCCAAAGTTCTTAAAACTGGCATTATTTAGAAATACATTTGAAAAGAGATAGTTCCACCTAGAATTCTGCTGTGTCTTTCTGAAACTAGCTATAAAGACTCAGTAAGGCACAAATTGTCTCACAAATCTCTGACTTTGTTCTTCAGCAGAATTAAGTTCAGCTCATAATAATAATAATAATAATAATAATAATAATAATAATGCTATTAGTCAATTGCAAAAGGCGGCCTTGCTAGGAACTGCTTCCATCCTGCGACAATACCTGTAATACCATCAAACATCCACATCTGCCTATCCCAGGTCCTGGGTAAGGACTCGATAAATAGACAAAATGCCAAATCCAGTCTGAACATCTGGCTGACTGTGTGATGATAAATAATAATAATAATAATAATAATAATAATAATAATAATAATAATAATAATAATTTCCACCTGAGCAGAAAGGAAACCGCCCCAACAGCAGAGGAACAAAAGATCAACTCCTAGTAGACAAAATGATCTTGGAAAACTGCAAGAGAAGGAAGACCAACCTGAATGTAGCATGGATTGACTACAAAAAGGCATTTGACTCTCTGCCACATGATTGGATAATAAAGTGCCTAGAAATAACAGGAGTCAGTAGAAACATCAGAAAATTTGTGCAAAGATCGATGGCACAATGGAAGACACAGTTGCAGATCAATGGTGAGAGGCTGGGAGAGGTTAATATCAAGAGAGGAATATTTCAAGGAGATTCATTATCACCATTACTATTTGTTATTGCACTGTTTCCTCTGTCAACAATACTGAATAACTCAGGACATGGCTATCAAACATCAAAAACATCTGCCAGACTATCCCACCTCCTTTATATGGATGATCTGAAGCTGTATGGAAAAACATCATCTGAAATAGAATCGCTGCTCAACACTGTCCGTATATATAGCCAAGATATTGTAATGGAGTTTGGCTTGGACAAATGTGCCACACTTACTATCAAACAAGGAAAAATAGTGAAAACTGAAGGAATCAAGATGCCCCACGAAAATAACATTAAGAGTCTGGATGAGGAAGAGTACTACAAATACTTGGGTATCCTTCAAGCTGACAACATCAAGCACACTGAAGTCAAGAAAAAGATTAGAGGTGAATACATCAAGAGAGTGAAGAAGATCTTAAAATCCAAACTCAATGGAGGAAATACCATAAAGGCAATCAACACCTGGGCAATCCCAGTCATTAGGTACACAGCTGGAATAGTGGACTGGACTCAAGCAGAACTAAAAGCAATGGATAGGCAGACCAGAAAAATAATGACAATGAATCATGCCCTTCATCCACGCAGTGACATTGATAGACTTTATCTACCAAGGCAAATAGGTGGGCGTGGAATGCTACAAGTACATCAGATGGTTGAAGAAGAAAAAATGGCTTTGGAAGAATATCTGAAGAACAATGATGAAGATGCACTGAAATTAGTATATCAGGAAGGCTTACTAACTACTGGAGAGACCAAACTGGCCTACAAGAAAGACCAAATGAAGAACAGAATAGAGGCATGGGAAGACAAAGCACTACATGGCCAATACATGAAAAAAATAGCTGGGAAAGCAGATAATAATAAAACCTGGCAATGGCTAAGAGCAGGAAAATTGAAGAAAGAGACCGAGGGACTAATTCTGGCTGCACAAGACCAAGCCTTAAGGACAAATGCATATAAAGTCAAAATTGAGAAGACAGCAACAGACAGTAAGTGCCGCCTATGCAAAGAAGCTGAAGAAACAGTGGACCACTTGGTAAGCTGTTGCAAGAAGATTGCACAGACTGATTACAAGCAGCGGCATGACAAAGTAGCAACAATGGTGCATTGGAAGATCTGCAAAAAATATCATTTGCCTGTAAGCAAAAACTGGTGGGATCATAAAATAGAGAAAGTCATAGAAAATGATAAAATTAAACTGCTCTGGGACTTCAGAATTCAAACAGACAAGCACCTGCAACATAACACCCCAGACTTAACAATTGTCGATAAGAAAGACAAAAAAGTCTGGATAGTGGACGTGGCAGTGCCTGGAGACAGCAGAATAGAGAGAAAGAACTGGAGAAGATAACAAAATACAAAGACCTACAAATAGAAATAGAAAGACTGTGGCAAAAGCAAGCAAGGGTAGTACCAATAGTCATAGGCTCCTTGGGTGCAATCCCAAAACAACTGGAGCACCACTTGAACACCATTGGCATTGACAAATTCGCTATTAGTCAATTGCAAAAGGCAGCCTTATTAGGAACTGCTTCCATCCTGCGACGATATCTGTAATACCATCAAACATCCAGATCTGCCTATCCCAGGTCCTGGGTAAGGACTCGATAGGTAGACAAAATGCCAAATCCAGTCTGAACATCTGGCTGACTGTGCGATGATTGAGAATAATAATAATAATAGTAACATCTGCCAGACTATCCCACCTCCTTTATATGGATGATCTGAAGCTGTATGGAAAAACATCATCTGAAATAGAATCGCTGCTCAACACTGTCCGTATATATAGCCAAGATATTGTAATGGAGTTTGGCTTGGACAAATGTGCCACACTTACTATCAAACAAGGAAAAATAATGAAAACTGAAGGAATCAAGATGCCCCACGAAAATAACATTAAGAGTCTGGATGAGGAAGAGTACTACAAATACTTGGGTATCCTTCAAGCTGACAACATCAAGCACACTGAAGTCAAGAAAAAGATTAGAGGTGAATACATCAAGAGAGTGAAGAAGATCTTAAAATCCAAACTCAATGGAGGAAATACCATAAAGGCAATCAACACCTGGGCAATCCCAGTCATTAGGTACACAGCTGGAATAGTGGACTGGACTCAAGCAGAACTAAAAGCAATGGATAGGCAGACCAGAAAAATAATGACAATGAATCATGCCCTTCATCCACGCAGTGACATTGATAGACTTTATCTACCAAGGCAAATAGGTGGGCGTGGAATGCTACAAGTACATCAGATGGTTGAAGAAGAAAAAATGGCTTTGGAAGAATATCTGAAGAACAATGATGAAGATGCACTGAAATTAGTATATCAGGAAGGCTTACTAACTACTGGAGAGACCAAACTGGCCTACAAGAAAGACCAAATGAAGAACAGAATAGAGGCATGGGAAGACAAAGCACTACATGGCCAATACATGAAAAAAATAGCTGGGAAAGCAGATAATAATAAAACCTGGCAATGGCTAAGAGCAGGAAAATTGAAGAAAGAGACCGAGGGACTAATTCTGGCTGCACAAGACCAAGCCTTAAGGACAAATGCATACAAAGTCAAAATTGAGAAGACAGCAACAGACAGTAAGTGCCGCCTATGCAAAGAAGCTGAAGAAACAGTGGACCACTTGGTAAGCTGTTGCAAGAAGATTGCACAAACTGATTACAAGCAGTGGCATGACAAAGTAGCAACAATGGTGCATTGGAAGATCTGCAAAAAATATCATTTGCCTGTAAGCAAAAACTGGTGGGATCATAAAATAGAGAAAGTCATAGAAAATGATAAAATTAAACTGCTCTGGGACTTCAGAATTCAAACAGACAAGCACCTGCAACATAACACCCCAGACTTAACAATTGTCGATAAGAAAGACAAAAAAGTCTGGATAGTGGACGTGGCAGTGCCTGGAGATAGCAGAATAGAAGAGAAAGAACTGGAGAAGATAACAAAATACAAAGACCTACAAATAGAAATAGAAAGACTGTGGCAAAAGCAAGCAAGGGTAGTACCAATAGTCATAGGCTCCTTGGGTGCAATCCCAAAACAACTGGAGCACCACTTGAACACCATTGGCATTGACAAATTCGCTATTAGTCAATTGCAAAAGGCAGCCTTATTAGGAACTGCTTCCATCCTGCGACGATATATGTAATACCATCAAACATCCACATCTGCCTATCCCAGGTCCTGGGTAAGGACTCGATAGGTAGACAAAATGCCAAATCCAGTCTGAACATCTGGCTGACTGTGCGATGATCGATAATAGTAAAGTTGGAAGGGACCTTAGAGGTCATCTAGTCCAACCCCCTGCTCAGGCAAGAAACCCTATACCATTTTGGACAAATGGCTGTCCAGTCACTTCTTAAAAACTTCCAGTGTTGGAGCAGTCACTGCTTCTGGAGGCAGGTTGTTCCACTGGTTAATTGTTCTAACTGTCAGGAAGTTTTTCCTTAGTTCTAGGTTGCTTCTCTCCTTGATTAGTTTCTACCCCGTTGCTTCTTGTCCTGCCTTCAGGCGCCCTGGAAAATAGCTTGACTCCCTCTTCTTTGTGGCAGCCCCTGATATATTGGAACATTGCTATCATGTCCCCTCTCGTCCTTCTCTTTGTTAAACTAGACATACCCAATTCCAGCAACCGTTCCTTATATGCTTTAGCCTCCAGTCCCCTAATCATCTTTGTTGCTTTTCTCTGTACTCTTTCTAGAGTCTCAACATCTTTTTTTATATCTTGCTGACCAAAACCGGATGCAGTATTCCAAGTGTGGCCTTACCAAGGCATTGTAAAGTGGTATTAATACTTCACGTGATCTTGATTCTATCCCTCCGTTAATGTAGCCTAGAACTGTGTTGGCCTTTTTGGCAGCTGCAGCACACTGCTGGCTCATATTTAAATGATCATCCACTAGGACTCTGAGATCCCTCTCACAGTTACTACTATTGAGCAATGTCTCAAATTCTGTATTCTTACCTGTATTATTAAGGACCAGAAGTCCTGATGTCCCAGTGAAAAACTCTTTCCCTGGCTCAAAATAAAGCCCAGGATGAATCTCTTCATATTGAAAATTCAACCAAACAGAGTAGCTGATCATTTGGGCAATATAAGGTGCTAATATAACTCCAATAAGTAGCAGCCTAGGATAATTAAATATTGTTTAAGCATAGCAGAAAAGTGATGTCCGATCAATTTCATTCTACTGCATTTTAAAATTAGGCATTATAGAGCAGAAGCATTTGATAATTAAGGAAGTGTGTTTATCAAAATTCCTGAAGGATTGGAGAGCAACTTCAATCTTCCATACAGACTCCAATTTATACCAAAGTTTTAAAATGTTTTTAAGAAGAAAAGTAGCTTTGTGGAACTAGAAATGAAAGTATAAGTTTCCTACTTGTTTTGATCTCCTTTCTGTACTCTGCATATAGAATTGTTCAGGAAGCAGTAATGACAGTAATTCTAAAAATTTCTTTGGTCAGACCTATTCACACTACAGTAGTCCCCAGGAGAAACCCATTGAATGAATATTCTATTCATAATTAAGTACAGGCAGTCCTCTACTTAACAATCACAACTGAGCCCAAAATGTATGTTGTTAAGTGAGACGTCTGTTAAGTGAGTTTTGCCCCATTTACAACCTTTCTTGCCACAGTTGTTAAATGAATCACTGCATTTGCCAAGTTAGTAACACGTTTGTTAAGTGAATCTGGTTTAGCCATTGACTTTGCTCGTCAGAAGGACATAAAAGGTGACCACATGATCTTGAGTCTGTTGCCAACTATCTAAATTTGACCACAAGACCATGGGGATGCTGCAATGGTTGCAAGTGTGAAAAAATGGTCCTAAGTCATTTTTTGTCAGTGATGTAACTTTGAACACTCACCAAATGAACAGTTGTAAGTCAGGGACTACCTGTATCTATATAATAAATGCTGTATTTTCAAAATCTCAAAATGGTATTGTCTACCCAAGTGCTACTATGGCATTTCGGAGGTTTTGAAGTTATTTTATATTAACACAAACGTTACTTTTCTAAATTGAAAAACAAAAAGAGAAACAACCAACAGATGGCACGGACACGAATTGATCTGTTGTCATGGAAAGATTGAATGATGAAGCTATTGAAATTTCTGATTTTGGCAGAACTGAATGATCTTGTCTCACTCTGGATTTGCTTTAAAAGGTTTCCTTCCCTGACAAGCAAGAAGAAGCGATATAAATATGCCAGCTCTAGCTGGAGTAGAATGAGTGCTGCTGTAGTTTGGAAACATGGCAAGGGGATGAAGCAGCTGGAATCACTGAATTAATGTCCTCTACCTGAGATCATTGTTCTCTTTCCACGCTTGGAGGGAAAAATGTGAAATATCATTATGTTCTCTTGGATTTTGTTCCTAAGCACTGTATAAAATCTGTTTTTTCTTCAGCTTATTCAAGGTTAACGGAGGCAAATTTACTCTATAATCACAGCCTATGATCTCGACTTCTTGCATTAAAGATAAAATAAATAAATCATTTTTAAAAAGGCACTCACAAGGTTCCCCAGATTTTGCTCTCTCTCTTGAGGTTTAGAAAGTGCATTCTTGCAATGGCATAAACTTGTTGTCTCCAGAGCTCCGTGCCTTTCATGGTCACCTTTCCCGTGTCTGAGAGCAACAGCTGATCCCGTTCCATTTCATCCTTTCCTGCCGCTTCCCATCCATGAAGGATTCCAAAATCTAAAACCATTTTGAAAGTCAAAACAATTCTCTTTATTTCAGCTGAAGGAACATCTTTTTGTTTATCCATGTTTGTTCTTTCCTCTTCTCAACTCCTATTCTTCCTATTGGCTAAAAACTCTGTTACCGAAAGATCAGTCTAATATCTTCCCTTGGGTCTTCAGAAATGATAGAAGAAAACAATGAAAATCCCGCCCCATAGTTATCACTCCAAACACACAGTTTTCTCAGCAGAAAGACTGAAAATAATACAGTATTGAAAACAATACTTTACCTTCTTCTTTCATGTTTTCATTTCCTTCTAGCTTCAAGAAGACATCTTCCAGAGTCGTCGTGGTAACTCCATAATTAATAAGTCCTAGGTCTGTCTGATGATCCATATCACTGAACAAATCTACACGTTGAGAAAGGGAAAACACATACCAAATTTATATATATTTTCAACTTAAAGGAAGGACACAAATACCCATTGGAATTTTGTGAAATTTCACTTGATTGAAATAAAGTTAAATTTTAGATGAACTGTTCTTAAGGTTTGCTTTTAATTTTTTACTTCCTTAGCCTATAACAGACCAGCTATAATCTGATTGAAAAGGTTAATCAATATATCCAAAGTAACACCATCTCAGAAACATAAAAACAATCTAATGAAGGCAAAGTTCATTTTAGAACTTTGGTTTATTTCACTCTATCTACAGAGTCATTTAAAAAAAATACTATTCTTTATGTTTACAAAGCAACTGTAAACAAAAAGATAACTTTGTATCTTGAAAAACTGGAAATAATTACAAGAGGGACAGTTTTGCCCAGGACAGAAAAAGAGATGAAAAATATAAAGAAAGTTTTTAATTTACTAATTACTGAAGAATAGTATTATATGATTATCTAAAAAGCAGCCTAATTTAATAAGAGGTATATTGATTAATTTAGCACAGAAAATAATTTCATTAAAGGATTGTGAAACAAACATTAGGTAATATTCTGGCATTTTAAAAAGAAAAGCCATTGAAATCATTGTATTATTTAATATATTCATTGCCTCTAAAGCAAATTTATGTTATTAGATCACTAAAAACAGTACAGCATTTGGAAGATATATATTAATTTAAACTGAGCCAGGGATGGAATACATTTTATTCCCTTTGAAAATTCAATTCAAGTCAATTCACTCTATTTTTCTATTGCTTTCTTAGACTGTTAGGGAATTTGTCATTATTTGAGAGTATATGTGATATAAATATATATGATGTAATGTTAATTGTCTAATAGTGAAATAAAATATTGTTATTTATAACCAAAGTATAAACTGATAAAAGAACAAAAATATGTTCTGACCACAAAAATGAAGTTGAATTCACCACATATTATAAATTAAACACAACAATTTGCATTGCAATAAGGGTGAAAGCCTTTTATTTTCATAGATCTTATTTTATTTTCATAGGTATTATTAATCAATGTTAGAATTGTGATTTCTCCATTTTACTGTCATTTAGTGATAATGACTTTTGTCTGTGAAAGATATGTCATATTCTCTTTATTATAGAGCAGTTGATTAAATTATTTGGTTCTCTATTTCATGTGGTTAATCATATGAAATGTTAATTATAAACTTGATTTTTAAATGGTTTTTATTATGTTTTAATCTGTATGTTGCTCAAAGGATTGAACATAGGGTAATACAAAATTTCATCTGATTTGGTGGGAAAATAATATTAAACAACCTTCCTCTGTTGTCCAGAAAAGCATGGTTCATATGACTTCAACTGTTAGGGTTCTTTAGGAAACAGCAGTTAAATTATTTTTATTTATACAGCTTGAAAATTACCTGAAAACTTATCCACATTTTGTAAGGGCAGGGTATAGCTCAGCTCATTTTCACGTTGTCCTGATTTTTTTGCAGCAGGGATGTGGTGTTTGACCAGTGATGTTATTCTCTCAACGTTACAAAACTCATTTGTATGCATCCTATTCATATTAAACAACACTTTAGGTCAACAGCAATGTCCAACTTATTTATTCAGAATATTCAATGAATCCTTCCAACTAAAAAACAGATTTCAGCTTATCTCATGCATCATAAACTTCCATAAAGTGACTTAGTGCTTAGTACTAGAGCTAACTTGCTACAATTAAAACAATTTTTAAATAAAATAGGTTGTATCCTAGCTTACAGTTGCCTCACTAATGCACCTTCCTTCATATTTAATTAAAAAGATAGCACACATGTAAAAAAAAAAACCCTTTGTTTCCTTTCAAATGCATCTTTAAACAAGATTTGATTGGGGTATATGTGATAAGAACTTCCTCAAAACATTTGGGAAATATGAAAGTAGAACATTAAACAACCTTGAAGGTAGGGTATGTTAAAGTATATTTATATTGGAATTCAAAAATACTGGATTCTTAAAAAAAAAAAATAATGATTCGTCTTCTTACATTAATTTTATAAGATGGGTAATCCGGCTGAATCAAGATATCCATAGTCCAGTATTTTGTTTCCCGTAATAGCTAATCAAGGGCTTCTGGGAGTTTTGCAAGCAGAAGATGGGTGGTGTGAAACATTGTTCTTTTCACAATGGAATTTGGAGGCAATATTGAATGTTTAGAATTAATAGCTCTTAGTAGACCTTTTCTCCATGAATTCATCCATTTCTTTTGTAAAGCCACCCAAATTAAGGGCCATCACCATATGTTATGATAATTAATGCCACAGATTAATGATGCACCATCTGTTCTAAAACTCCTTCCACCCACTTTCAATCCTAGTGTTTTTGAAAGGATCAAACTTTTCCTGTCCATGCCCTTTCTGCCATTCATATTGTTATATCCCTGAGTTGCCTTTTTCCAGTATAACAACAACAACAACAACAACAACAACTTTATTGTCACTTTGAAAGAATACCAATCGGCATACATCAAAATGAAATTTCGTTGCATACAGCTCTGAAAGGGTCACCACCTCTGATATACACTCTTTGTTCGTGGCCAGCTCAAGTTACAGATTTTATAGAGCACTTTACATTCTAGCCAAATCTTACGCTCAACACAGAGAAACATACACTTCTAGTTTCCCTCTTCTACACTCTTTCCAACTTAGTATTAAAGGTGCAAACATAACTCTTTGGTCTGGCTCATCTAGTCATCTCCAACAGTGGCAACATCAATTGGCATCCTTAAGCAAGTAGACATTTGGTCTGCTGTTCTACAATAGACTTAGTTTTCAAATATCAGCTTTTCTGACATAATTTCAAGGAAAGCCAGTAGTTAAGCTGTTGAACAGGGTGGGATAGAACTATATCCTCCTTGAATTTTGGAAGCTTACTAGATGACTTCAGGCCAGTCACTATCTAATCTTCCTCCCTGTTTTGGTGAAATCATGAAAGAAGGAATGCTTTGTAAGCCACACTAAAACCTTGAAGGAAAGATGGGCAATAAAGCTATCAAATGAATAAGCGAAACAGTTTTGTTCCTCAATCAAATTGAGCAGCTCTGTTTTGAATTCTTGCCTTCGTGAGGCCCTTCTGCACATTTCTGCCCACATTCAATTTATATGGTTAGCAGGAACTCCAAACTGCCTTTTCAAATGTGCTTCTCAGCCTCTTTCTTTCTTACTGTTCAAGCACACAGTGAATTTTTCCTACAAAATTTAAATATATTGATCATTTCACTATTTTTATTCTTTATATGGTTTTATATTGGGTAGTTTTAAAAACTTGTTTATTTGTTGCTTTTTAAATGTTAGTTTTCTCCATTATTGAGATTTGTTTTTTTCATTTAGCTAAATTGCGTCAAGTGTCTGTATTTCAAAATGGAAAAGCAAGGTGTAAACCTGAAAAGAACAAATGAAAGACTGAAAGATTGGATTAAATATTCCAGCATAGAATTAACATTAAGCTTTTAAACTACAATGAAAAATACATCCATAACACTGTCATATTACTAATACCTTAAATGATAGCCAAGCCCCCATTTTTTCTTCAAAAACAGAGACGAACCAACACACTGCAGCCTCCCATGTGAGATAATAGCTTTCCGGTCTGAGAAAGAACAAACAAAAATTTATCTCATTTGATAATAAGTTCTATTTGCCAAATTCAAACTATTAAACATATAGTTATTGGGGATTTAGTGGAATCAATGCAGTAAATAAAGCACTGGTTTGGTATAAAATATTCATAGTGACTAGCATATGAATTAGACCTAATTCTTACTGACATAAGAAAGGAGCAAACTAAAAGTAAAGTAGGCAAGCTAGCATGAACCTTTAAGGTAGGATGAGCCAACAGTGGCTAGAATAGTAACTTTTACATATCTACATCCAGATGTTTTTATTTGGAATTTCATTGAGATGGTAGAGGGAATAGAATCATAGAGGCGGAAGGAGGTCTTCTAGTACTTTTTGAGTTTAATCCATCTGAGGGGGATGGGCAGTAATAAACAAACAAACAAACAAACAAACAAACAAACAAATAAATATTACATCTTTTTACAGGATAGAACAATCAATATACAAGGAACAAGAAAGGAAGTAACAATGATGGATCTAAAAGGTCGCTAAAAGTAAAAGGTGAGTCAGTGGGCTTAGTAGGAAAGAGAGGAACAGCTGCAATGCATGAAAATGCTGAAATTGACAGGAGAAGCAGACTGATGTGTAGTAATACATGTGACTGGATTTAAGAAGTTACATGGATCAGCTGACTTAGTGCAATTCAATAAAAGACCTTTCTGATAGATGGGGACAGAAGGAGAAATAATGGTATTTGAAGAAATAAAATTACCATAAGTACTGTTTCTATAGTGTCTCTTTGTTCCTACATTCTAATCTGCTTCAGTATGAGGTCTGCTCACCAGAAAGGATATCAGCTTCATCCATGAACTGGGTAGTGAATAAAATGACTCGATCTGCTTTGCGTTCATTCAGGAGAGACCACACTTGGTGTCTAGAATATGGATCCAATCCAGCAGTTGGCTCATCTAGTAATAATACCTACAGTAGGCATTTGATTGCATATCTTAATTCAACACATTAAAACATTAGCAAATAGCATTCATTGTTAATGTCCAATTTCTCATTATGAAGACACAAGTATGTTGCAAAATTGTATGCCTTTTGAAATAACATTTAGAGGATTTTTTAAATAGAAAATAATGTCATTAAAATTATTGCAAATTTCACTTAACTTGCTAAAGTCAAGAAAATATTAGGAAAAGGGTTGAGAAGCTAAAGCTGAAAGAAAGGGAAACCATATCAGAATTAGGGATTTCCATGATTACTATCTATGCAAGTCATCAATAAGGAGGAAAGCACTGCATTTATAAAAAAAAAAACATACTTAATGGTGTAGGTACAATGAGTCTTTTTTTTTTAACTAATAGTGGATTTACCTGTGGTTCCCCTAAAAATGTAATCCCAAGAGATAATTTTCGTTTTTGTCCACCACTTAAATGACTAGCTTGGGTGTTTTGAATGGCCTTGATGTCCAAGAGCGTCAACAATGTTTCAACCTATAAAATATATAAATTGCAATTATTTTGCACTTCTTACCTAGAAGTCCAATCTCTTTACTGAATGAAAGAAATGGACAGGCAGTCCATATATTTTATATACTTAGTTCTTAATGTAAGTTTGGATCTTATTTCTGTTGCCGTTCATCTCTAAAACATTTTAAATTTTGTTGACCATTTAGCTTGGCTGTTTTCAGTTGACAACAGGTTACCCAACAGGTAAGTAATATTTCATTGTAAATCAGTATCAAGCACTGAAAGTTGAATCTTTTGTACTTGTTCAGGCAGACCATATTCCTAAATTTTATATGGCCATAGTTTGTTCATCCTTTTCCTGAAGAAGCCAAATTATATTCTACTAACTTTTTGCACTTCAGAGTTCTCTTGGCTTCTTTTCCAAGGTTTTTTAAAAAAGCTTTGGCTTATTCATCTTATTTTCATTGCTGTGGGAATGGCAGTCTTCCTAACAACTGGCTAACAAACCCTGATCCAACTGGCAGAGAAATGGTCTATTACAGGGTTGTTTTTTTTCAAATAGTGCTTTGTGGAATTTGGGGGGTAGACAAATTTAAAAAGCTTTAATATCAAGGGGAAATGAACAAGCGTGGGAAAAATCAGATGAATATTGTAGTTTAGAGAGATTTAGATACTTTTGTATAAGTAAAAGACAATGGGAGTATTTTTAAAAAAATACTACAAGATTTATGACAGCCAGTAAATATAACAGTCAGAAAAATGGCTTTAAAAAATGAGCAGTTAATCAATTAAGTGTAGGAGTAGACGACGCTGAGTCTGAGGAAGGGGTCAAACGCATCATAAGTCACATGTCCCTGCGCACCCGCAAGAGAACTAAGTCCAGCCCACCTTGAATGCCTTCCTTATATCCTCCCGCTCATTTCCCTTGACCATTAGTTGGTCAGATTCTTGTAGAGAGCTTAAGCTTGCAATAAATGTTTATACTTATTTGAACTGCCTGAATCTCCTGATTTCCCCAGCGCTTGACATTAAGTTGGTTATCAATACATTTGTCCTACTGATTCCAAAGCATAAGTGAAGTTTTCTAGACTGGACTGGCTAAATACAATCAGAGGAGAATAATGTTATCAAATCTAAAGGAGAGGTTGTCCTACAATGGAAGAAGCTTAAAAGGGAAAAATGTAGAACATAACCACCTGTGCAACACAAATCTGTGCAGGACAACAGAATATAACTGAATCCATTATTACCTCTTTTTCTACAGCATTGGATGGTATCCCTTTTATTTTAGCAAATGTCTTTAAGTTTTCTTTCACTGTTAAAAATTCAAACTGAATATTGAATTGTGGACAGATAGCACTTATTTCCCAAATCTTTTCCATGTGTTCCTTTTCACATATATTGTACATGTATATGGATGCAAAACCTGTAAGCATTAGCAAAAACAAAAACAAACAAACAAAAAACCACATAGAGAATTTTCCAATTAAACAGGCTGCTATTACTTTAGGATATGATGAATTAAAAGGCTGCTTTGCAAATGGGCTTGTCTGTTGTTTATCCAATTTATTATAATATATACTATTAATGACTGTCTTCCTAAGGCTAGCTTTAACCTTATTACTAAAGGAGATTGTAGCACCTCCCCCCCCCCCAACAGGGGTTGATCTGTACTACAGTTTGGGAGCTCTCCAGAATACCATGGAGAGGAAAAGCTTTCTCCAGCTTCCCTGGAGATGATGATACTTTGCTAGAGAACAACGCAGAAAGGGGCTATTGTGGTGTTTTCCTACCATTGTGAAAAACAGGAAATGTGACCAGATTGGACCTGGTCAGATCCAACAGGGCTGCACTTTTCCAAATGTACTTAGAGATTGAGCTGGCATTTGAATTCATTTTAAAGTTTTGATTCTTACCATCAGATGGTTTGGAAAGTCCACTGAGAATGTTTAGCAATGTAGTTTTTCCAGATGTGCTATGACCAAGTATTGCAGTGATCTGACCTTCATAAATATCCAAGGACAATCCTAATATATAAAGAAGTCAGGTTTGCTGTATATATTAAATGATACATTGAGGCATCTAATAGAAGAAATCATTCTGGCTTTGTTCACATACAGCTGTGGCACTACCCCAATATTAAGAATCCATGTTGTTCTTGGCAAAACAGCTAAACCTGAGGGACTGTGAGGGACAAGAAACAAGTCACAGAGCAGTACAAAAGAATCTTGTTTTAGATCTTTGTATCCTCCATTGATTTATTTTAGGATATGCAGTTCCTCTTCTGATTAGTGGGATCTTAAAACATTTTTCAGTTGTCTACAATTATCCTGTTCTGTTAATCAGTTCTAAAACCAAATGTTTTCCTGAAACTTATTCTTACATGACAGTATGTTATTTCTTTTCTCCATCCATCCTAAATTTGAATTCATTGTTTTGCATTTTATTTTATTTATTTATTTTATTTTTAAAATTTATAAGCCGCCCCACTCCCGAAGGACTCTGGGCGGCTAACAATAAAAAACACATAAAACATAACAAGACAAACAGTACAAAGACAGTCATCCAGGGGTCAGGATTTTATAAACCCCAGGCTGCCGGGAAAGCCAGGTCTTAAGTAGCTTACGGAAGACCAACAGGGTGGGAGCGGTCCTAGTCTCTGGGGGGAGCTGGTTCCAAAGCGTGGGTGCCATCACAGAGAAGGCCCTCCTCCGTGGCCCCACCAAATGGCACTGCTTGGCCGACGGGACCTGAAGGAGGCCCAGCCTGTGGGATCTAACCGGACGTAGGGAACTATGAGGTAGTAGGCGGTCTTGCAAATAGTCTGGCCCTGAGCCATATAGGGCTTTAAAGGTAATGACCAACACCTTGAATTGGACCCGGAGACCAATAGGCAACCAGTGCAGCTCACGGAGGATAGGTGTAACATGGGTGTATCGAGGAGCACCCACTATCATTCGCACGGCTGCATTCTGGACCAACTGTAGTCTCCGAATACTTTTCAAGGGTAGCCCCATGTAGAGCGCGTTGCAGTAGTCCAGACGTGAGGTGACAAGGGCATGAGTGACTGTAAGGAGAGCCTCCTGGTCCAGGTAGGGTCGCAACTGGTGCAACAGGCGAACTTGTGCAAAGGTCCTCCCAGCCACAGCCATCAATTGATGTTCCAAATTCAGCTGTGGATCAAGGAGGACACCCAAGTTGTGAAGCCACTCCGAGGGGGGTATATTTTCCCCGCAAGAGTCAACACTGGACAGTCGACATGATCCTTGGGAGGCAACATCCAAAGCCACTCGGTCTTGTCAAGATTGAGCCTGAGTCTGTTAACCCTCATCCAAACCCTCACGGCTTCGAGGCAACGGCCCATCACATCGGCCGCTTCACTGAGAGAGCTCAGGGAGGAGATATATAACTGGGTATCATCAGCATACTGATGAAACCTCACCCCGTGCTGTCTGATGATCTCACCCAGCGGCTTCATATAAATGTTAAATAGGAGGGGAGAGAGGACCGACCGCTGTGCCACACTGCATTCAAGGGGCCTCGGGGTTGACCTCTGCCCTCCCACCAATACCGATTGCGACCGGCCAGAGAGGTAGGAGGAGAACCACCGTAAAACGGTGCCTCCCACTCCCACCCCTTCGAGTCGTCACAAAAGGATACCATGATCGATGGTATCAAAAGCAGCGGAGAGGTCAAGTAGCACCAAGACAGAGGAATAACCCCTGTCTCAGGCCTGCCAGAGATCATCCATCAGCGCGACCAAAGCGGTTTCTGTGCTGAAGCCGGGCCTGAAGCCAGATTGAAAAGGGTCTAGATAATCCACTTCATCCAGAGACCGTCGGAACTGGAGCGCCACCACTCTCTCTACAACCTTCCCCACAAAGGGGAGATTGGAGACTGGACGGAAGTTATTTAAATCAGCCGGGTCCAGGGTAGGCTTCTTGAGCAGGGGCCTCCTTCAGGGATTGCGGGAAAGACCCCTTCCTCAATGAAGCATTGATCAACACCTGGAGCCAGTCTCGTGTCACCTCCTTGGCAGCCGAGACCAACCAGGAAGGACACGGGTCCAATAAACAAGTGGAGGCGCTCATTGCTCCCACCGCTCTGTCAACATCCTCAGCGGTCACAGACTCAAATTCATCCCATAAAACTGAGCTAAGACCTGCCCCAGTCATCTCAGAAGGCCCTGCCCAATCGGAGTTTAGGTCTGTCCGAATCCGAGCGATTTTGTCTGATAGGAATTGCACAAATTCCTCCGCTCTACCCTGTAAGGGCTCCCCAGCTTCCCGAACATTAAGTAGGGAACAGGTCACCCTAAACAGGGTGGCGGGGCGAGATTCTGCAGATGCAATAAGTGCGGAAAAATGCAAACATTTTGCCGCTCATATCGCCACTAAATAAGTCCTAATATAGGATCTTAGACGTGTCTGGTCGGATTCGGAGTTACTAGCCCTCCAGCGTCACTCTAGATGTCTCTTCTGACGCTTCATCTCCCGTAGCTCCTCAGTAAACCAAGGTGCCCTCCGGGATCCACAATCACGGAGAGGTCGCAAAGGCGCGATGAGTAAAGCACCTATTTCTTCACATTTTTTATCCTGAATTTTATAATTGTTACTGATTCTGGTGCCAGTTATTATTATTTTTTTGCTGGCACTCATGCAACCAGTTTTTCCCAGGACTTCCTATCAAGATAGGGGAGAAAATTAAAAATCAAGTTGCCTTTTCTTTTTCAACCAGTGCCCAGGAAACTGATGGAGAATGTGGAGATAAAGGTGTCAGAAAGATGACCTTTGAAAGTTACTTAAATGTAATTCTTAAATTTAAAGCATCTCAGGAAGTTTTCTCTAAGAAGGAGAGCAGAAATGCCTATGTTAGGTTCTGCCTTTTCACATGAATCACACAATAGCTTGGAATATCTTCCTTGTCCCCCAGATCCCATATATTAATAAAATAATGTCAGTTTACTGTATCTCATGAATTGCTGGTATTTTGATCTCTGAGATATCATGTGAGGTCAAACAAGTATTATAATATTTTATATATTTACTCTGTTTTCTTGCCAAACTTCTTATAAGATTTCATGTGAAGAACCCAAATATTTAATATAAATAGGTAATCATTGTAAGTCATGCCCATTTTATTAAAACAAATGGTCTAACTTTGGAGATTCAAGAATGGTATTTACATATATTACAGATGCCCTACTTCCCATATGTTTTGTGCTATTTCTGTCATATTTCATAGAACCAAAGCAATAATATATATTCTAAAGTGCAGGTATCTTACCTTTCAAAGCTTCTGTTTCTGTGCTTTTCATTTTATAAATTTTTTTAATGTTATTTAGTCTAAAAAACAGTGAAATAATTATTTGTCAGTACATTGTGAGATTCTTCTTACAAATTTCAGAATTATCCAAAATATCACTTTGAAATAGAATATTAATTTAGCATTCAATATGTCATAGTAAATGTTAGACAAGGGATGCATTTTCCTTTGGTATATGTCCAATAGACATAATAAAATAAACATAAACGTATAATATAAAAAAATAAAAGACAATACAGATAGTCAGATTAGGAGAGGTTAGGAGGGCACATCGCTAAATGATGTGGTTGTAAAGCTTAACACCAGGACCATATGGGTCATTAAGTGAGGACCTCATATAATGTGATGAGGGAAGATGGAATTTCATGCAAGCAGACTGGCGGACACTGAGGGTTGGCACTATAGAGCACAAGCGGATGGGGGGAAAAGCAGGGTGAATGCAAGTGACTTGTAACCTGCTACCAGCTTTCCGTTGACTTTGTTTGTAAGTAACCATCGGGGAGGGTGGAAATGGCAGTCATGTGATCTTGAGATGCTGCAACCATCATAATGGTTACCAAATGGCTGAACTGTGATGATGTGACTGCAGAGATGTTATAATAGCTGCAACTGCAAGGACCAGTCATAAGTCCCCCTCATTCAGCATTGTCACAACTTTGAATAGTTGCTGAATAGATGGCTATAAGCCAAAGACTACCTGTTGCAGCAGAAATGTATTTCTTACAGCATATTATTTTCTCCTTATGAATGAATCTCCCCCAATGTCCTCTGGGAGCAGAACCTATACGTAAAGGAAATTTACAATACGCTCACAGTATTGAATGTCCACATTCAATGTCTCTTACCTTATGGCTTCCTTCCCATTAAACTCAGGAGGCACAGGTTCAGCATTGTCACTGAAGATACTCCCGTGACTCCGTTCGTTTGTAGGAACATCACCAGTATTGGGTCTTTTTGGTTTACACCAATAGGTCTTCTTCAGGAAAAACAATGGAGGATAAGGTACCCCATATTTGTCTAAAAGGTATTTTACAAACAGCAAGTTGTCATAAATCCAAAATAACTGTAAATTCTTAATGTTTACATTGAACATGTAATAAAGTACAATGCTAGTCTTCATTGTTCTTTTGTAGTATTTTCTTAACTGTGAACCTGACAATAAAGTGAATAGATATAGTCAGTTCAGTTCTCTGCTTAATAAATCATTACCTTCATCAAAACTAAAAAAAAGAGGGAAATAGACTAAAGCAACAAACAGGAATATATAATTCATTTGAGAATTCTTGCTAATTTTGATATGTCATTAGCAGAGAACTCTGCATGTAGCATTGGTAAAACTAAGGCTGGTAACCTACATTTTGTTTGTCTTTTGAATCAGTTTTTTACCTCTGGCAACTGCTTGGACAAGTCCCTGCAGTTTTTTTGGCAAGAATTTCAGAAGTGATTTGCCCTTGCCTTTTTCCAAAGACTGTGACAAAGTAACTGGTTCAAGATCACACAGCTGGCTTCATGCTTAAAATGAGAGTAAAAATAATGATCTTCTGGTTTCTTACTAAATGCTTTAACCCAGTGGTAGTGAACCTATGGCACGGGTGCCAGAGGTAGCACTCAGAGCCCTCTCTGTGGGCACGTGTGCCGTTGCCCCAGTCCTAGGCTTTCAGCTGGGTTTTATAAAACCTTTTTGCTTTAGGCCTCCACCGCTGTGTGCAAAAAAAAAAAAAAAAAAGGTTCACTTAATCAGTCAATTTCTCACGGGAAAAAAAAGTTCTTGCAAAGTTGGAATTGATTGATTGAACTTTTTAGTCCCACCCAGACTGCTGTTATCACTGCAGCCATGCCCACTCAATGGACCATGCCCACTCAATGGGCCATACCCACCCAATGGGCCACGCCCACCCAATGGGCCATGCCCACTTGGCACCTGACAATGCATAAGTGGGTTTTGGGTTGCAGTTTGGGCACTCGGTCTCTAAAAGGTTCGCCATCACTGGTGTAGAGTAAGCAAATGAAATTAAAGGTAGATGACAAGAGAGAAGGAAAACTTTCCTTTTGTTTTCTAAACCCCAGTCATTTTGTGGAGCTCATCAGTTCCATTGGCTTCTCATTTTTGTGTTGCAATTCCATTCCCATTAATTTTCCCTACATGACCAACAATTCTAATGCATTGCTTTCATACAAATCAGTCACTTTGCATTCAATTCACAAATATTCAGCACCCATTTATTCTGGGTCTTTTAATCTCTTGTTTTACCAACCACAGTTCTTAAGTAACACATTTGCACTGCATTTATGTTTCTCCTGACATATTCAGCTCCCACTTACATCTACAAAATTGGCAGAAACCTGCTTATATACTTAGTGATTTCTGCTTCTCTTGACAAATATCTTCAAACAGAATTATTCCACCCAATACTTTTCTACCAGCATTTGCACATCTTAACATATTTCCATTCATGTTCCTATTTTTAGTAAATATTCTACCAAGATACACAAATTCACCCACATAACAGGTTTTTTTTTGCTATTTATATGTACTTGCAATTGTTCATTCCATTTTCCCTGTGAAATACAACCACCTTTCTCTTGGATACTATAATTTTCATTCTGCGTTTCTTCATAACATTCGCTGCAAATATTTGGGCTCTCAGCCAACAGAATTTAATCATCCTTACCAAAGTCCATCGCAATCCCAACCAACACAATTAACAACACCATAATAAATCCTTATACAATGCTAAAAATGTGCAAATCAGCCAAAGGGACATCACACCTCTTTCTCTTGCTCCCTGCTCAGTATTAAATATTTTGCCAAGCATCCCATTTATTCTCAATCATATTTTAATTCCATCATCTACATTTCATGCAAACTGTTCTATAATTCACACCTATTAACATTATTTATTTCTTCTAAATCTAATGTCTTCTAAATCCACAAGCATATAGCAGTGATGGCGAACCTTTTAGAGAGCAAGTGCCCAAAAACTGGCCTTGCCCTGCTCCACCCCCACCCCGCCCCGTTCTGTCCCCTCATCCACTGCCCCGCCTACCCGCAGGGCCACTCACTGCCTCCAGGGCCCACCACAGATCGCCCAGGCAGCCTAGCAGTGCTATGGCAGTCACGCCCTCTGCCCACACCCTGCAGCATCAACTGTGCATGATGGGGTGTGAGGGCAGAGTCTTATCTATGCCTCCTGGCTGCCATGTCCTTGGCTGCGCTGCTGCGTGTAGGCCATACTTAGGGGCGACTCTCCTTCAGGGGGGCTGCTAGAGAGGAGGGGGTCATGGGGGGAGGCAAGGCTGGGGCAACGGCACATGTGCCCACAGAGAGGGCTCCGAGTGCCACCTCTGGCACCCATGCCATAGGTTCGGCACCACTGCTCTACACCATTTCTGTACTTTGCATAATACTGGTTTCTTTAAAATGGGCCACAGGTCATACATGTATGCATGATATGTGAACAAGACTGTTGTATTTATGAGCTTCAGATGAATTTCAGGCAACTCAATCTAAAGAAAGATATAATACTTGCTGTCTCAACTTTGTTATTTTTCCCCATTTTTCAGGCCGGTTACAGTTTATCCCTAATTCAAAAATAATGCTTTTGAGATAATGAAAAGCAACTTGCAGAAATGTGGTCTTCAAACTATAATATATTCACAGTAATATTCTTACCAGGCACAACCTTATCAAAATAGAAAGCCAGCAGCATGTATAAAAGGCTGTCAATAAGCAAGCAATAACCATATGGTTCAACCATTAAGTCAGTAAAATCAAAGGTCCTTCCATATTTTTGAAAATAGAGAATCTACAAGAAAAGAACAAAGTTTTTTTGTGAATCAAATTTTCATAGGCAAGAACAAAGAATTGAGATGAAACTATTTAGTAAGTTAAACTATTGATCTGATTCTAACCCCCTTGAAATGGAAGCATGAGTCCCAGCAGTATGAAGGAAAGATTAGAATGGAATGCCATTCTAATATGTGTCCATATTCAGTTTGCTAAGTATCTTTATCAAAATATCTTTGGAAGAGAAATACCTATGTCACCAAAGTGAGTGTCAAATGTGTTTCCTGTTAGTTGCATCATGGTTAGGAAGATAGAATTTTGAAGTGAAATACTATTTGCCACTCTACCTTTGAAAGTCCAGCACCAAAAGCAAATGGGCAGAAGATGCTCAAAATCAATTGCAAATTTGGAGGTATCAACCTAATTGCTGTAGGTACGTTGAGGGCTCCCAAACAAAAAATGAAGATGAAAATTACAAAGCTAGTGATTCTGGGCTTCTTTAGGAGAGAGCTCAACATGAAACAGAGACATATCTGTGAAAGAAGAAATTGCCAGTTAGTAGGAAATACTTTCTCTACAAATATGCAAGATACAATAGAATGAGTGAAATATTGTTTTGTATTTATATGTAAATGTTGCACCCTACTTTAAAAACATAAATTGTTGTAAGGGATATTTGCAGGCCAGGATTCAAGCTAAACTGAGTTAATAAGAAGACAGTGTATAATGCCTTTCCATAGCTGTATTTCCCAAAAGGTTATTATATCTCTAAACAAGAGAAGATGGAGTCCAATCACTGTAATAATGTAACATGCAAACTGTAAATGCTCAAGCTGAAGAGAGTAAAAAAAAAATCAGCAGTGGAGAGAATTGAGTCCATTTGGCTGAGGCATTCAGACAACATGAAAACACTGTGGGACCACAAATGCAACCTGGCACCTACTTTTGCTTCTCCTAATGCCACCATAGTCAATAATTTTGAATAAGTATCTATTCAGCTTCCTTGCTCTGCCACTCAATACCGATGATTGAACTTTTTAACCTAGAACAATTTTTCTGGGCACTACCATCTCCATATTCCTCCTTCCTCTCTCAGATATTGACTCCATCTTTCTTCATCTTCCACTTTCACCCACATTTCCCACACATTTATTTTTCTCCTTGCAATTCATCCAGTTCTTCCATCTTTCCCTCCACCTGGTCTTCTTTCTCTGATCATTGAACAATTTGAAACCTTCCAATATTCCTCCATCTCCTTTTCCCCTCCTTCTCACCTACACATTCTATCTTGCATTTATCATATACACATTTTTAACAGGAACATCCATACAGCATCTTTAATCTTCAGTCAAGTGATACTCAGGATACTTTTTCAAAAATAAGGAAGTAATAGGTTCTCTTTAACGAGCCCAAGCCGGTTAGTAGACTGTAATATTTGACATGAGCTGAAAATTCTGAATAATTGTCTATAAAACATTTAATAGTTATCTAAACTTGAATTTATCAAGAAATGAATGACGTAGTCATATTTTCAATATTATCTGGAAAGGTGCAGCCGGCTTATCAAATGGCTGCCAATGAATACAAAATAGACAGGTATGCTTTTTTCTATCTTTCATCTAACCAAACAAAAGAACTTTCTGCTAAAGGAAATAATCTGTCCGGTGTACTTCCATGATCCCTCAAACTGTTTGTTTGAGTGCTTTATGTTTGGGTGCTTTATTAAAAGGAGAGGACGCTTGAGAAATAAATGTTTTAATTTAATATTTAAATATTAAATTAAATAAAAAGTTTCTTCTTATTCTGGTCCAGAAACTGTCCTCCAGCAGAGCAGAAATATTTATTCTAAATAGTGCATCGAACATATCACTTTAACTGAGAAAAGGAAAGTCCAAGACTTACAGATGAAATGCCATAAAGGAAAAGCAGGACAAATAATGTGGAATTGCTGCTTAGGTAAAAATATGTAGCTGTCAAACAAAATGTCAGCACCATGCTTAGAACTGAGATGTACATGGTGTACAGCAAACCCCAGGAGAGCCTATGAAGAAAAAGACACTGTTAACCTTCTTGGTAACATTTATCTGATTTTTCTCCACCTCCCCTAAATTATTTCTCCAGTTTAGTTCAATATTATGGTCCAAGCCTATAGGAGAAAAAGACTGATTGCAGGAAAGGGTTCTCTTGTTCAGTAAAACTGAGGCGCTTATCATTAAATGGCATTTGGCAGGCGTGTCATGTTAGGAAATGGAGCCCAATATGAAGAAGAGTAGAGGCTTTCAATAGACTTTCCTTGACCCCTTGTCTACACCAATTCCAGGAGTGGCAGAAAAATAAAATTATTATTGTATTTAAATTTATTGGCTATCCAACACCAAGGAGCCAAGGATAACTCTTCCAAACAAAGATAAAGCAGATGTCTCCCTCAACTCTTCCCAGATTGCCGAGTCTTGGTAAAACAATGGCAGATGTAATCAAAGAATATTCATATAAGGTAATATGTTTTGTGGGTCTTTTCCTTTTGCTACTCAGAGCAAGGACTTAAATGCTCTTCTTGACCTCTTTTGGCATCTATTTTGTTTAGAAAGAAGACTGACATCTTGGGCTGATTAAGGTAGTTGCTGTAAGGCTCCTTGCTCTCCATGGAATTATTTCTATGTTGGAGTAAACCCTAGTGACATTATGCCCCTTCCAAACTTATCCCTAAAAACATACCTGCAGAGGTTATCTTTTTATTTTTGTACCCTTTCCATTTTTCTCCATAGCTAATTCTCATTTAAAGAGCACAGCTGTGGAGTAAAATCCATCTAGAATGCTATTGGGCTTGAGTTCTGGTTCTGCCAAAATTGATCCAAGTGATCTAGAACAGGGCTTTTCAACCAGCGGTATAGGTACCACCTGTGGTATATTGGCACATGGCAGATGGTATGCAACCATCCTAGAAAAGTGGTAGCGGGGGAGAGGAATGAGCTGAATCGGTGGCAGCACCGCACAAGCCTGCACGAGAGATGGCTGGAGCTGCAGGGCTGTCAGGGCTCAGCAGAAACGCCAGGATCAGTGCCGCTTTCCAGCTGATCAGCGCTTCTTCAGGACTGTCAGGACTCAGTAGAAGCGCCAGGATCAGCTGAAGCTTGGCACTGATCCTGGTCCTTCTGCTGAACTCAGAAGAAGCGCCGATCAGCTGGAATGTTGCAACATCTCCAGGGCCTTGTGATTTACATTCAGATGCTTGGCAACTGATTCATATTTGTGACGGTCACAGGGTCATGTGAAGTGACCACAACCTCCTGCAACCACCCAGCAGACAGGTGGAATAAAAACAAAACACCCCCACCCCACCTCTGCTGCCAATCCCCAAAAGAAATGCTCACAACAATGAAAACCTTGGACAGGAGGAAGAGTGCCACTGGGTGGGCAGACAGGCATCTTGCTCGGCTGTGGCTTGGGGAGCACTTTTTTCAGTGCCATTGTAACTTTGAAGAGTCATTAAGCGAACTGTTGTAAGTCAAGGACTACCTGTACTTTATCACTTTTTTCCTTTTTTTGGGGTCATCAAGTTTTTGACACCTTGCAAGGCAACTAGTGTACTCCGATATTGCCATATCATAAAAGTGGTACAATGGGTGAAAAGGTTGAAAAACCCTGATCTAGAACATATTAAATCCTAGCTGCCTAGAAGCAGTTTTCTAAAATGAGCAGAGGATCCTTTTTGGAGTAAACCCTAGTGACATTATGCCCCTTCCAAACCTATCCATAAAAACATACCTGCAGAGGTTGTTAAATACATCCCAAAGACATTTGCTCCAAATTGGGATATTGGGTATTTAAACTGGAGGGTAATCCATGGAAAGAAAGATGCATTGTTTGAGTTTTTAGGAGCATAAAGAAATGTTCAACAGTATAAAGAAATGTTTGGGAGCATTAAAAAGCATCTACTGCACTGGAGGGCCTACTTAGTGAATGCAGAGATATCTTTGAGAAATTAAAAGAGGTACAAGCAGAATTAGAAGCAACAGGAAACGTTAGCAGACTCTTTGGTAGAGTTAGTTGCATAAAATACCAAAAAGAATGGATGAGTCGAAAGGGAGAATTTTAGAGAGAAATGCTCACCTAGAGGAGAAGTAAGCCAACTGTAAACTTCATTAGATCCAATGAGCAACAGCTATGGGAGGACCCAGTTCATAATAAATTCATAAATTGAAGTTACCCTCTCAAATGCCTGCAATACCTTCTCTTCTGGCCAGTATTGGACATCCTTACCCTGTGTAAGGTAAAAGTCCTAACAATGATCTTTCCCAGTGGCTGCCCCATTTGGGGGAATATCTTGCCTGAAGAAGGCTCTATTGTTTTTTTCTTAAATATATGAGTGCTAACAGTGGTAAGTTATACATAGGTTTTATTATTTATGATGGCTTTATGTTTAAAGACTTCAAACTTTCTCTTTTGTGGAAAAGTAAGCAACCTTGAGGTTTCAAAATAGGTAGAATACAGCTATTTCTGTAAATAAATAACACTATTTAGCATAAAAACAGACACAGTATGCTGTATGTGTGATTGCAGTGCCCTTCAAAATTGGGTAATTCACCAAAGTATTTTGTAAAATTGCAAATGTGAGAATATTTAGTTATATTTAACTAAGTTGCAGAATGGCTAACCATTCTAACCTGTGGTGATGCCATTAGTCATATAAGTGTATTGAGGTTCAAAGGGAATAGAACTCAACGTGGAGCTACTATTTACAGCACCAGCTCCATAATCAGAGCTTTGTTAAATTCTGTGCTGAGTTTTCCAGCTGGCATGGATTCATCTTCTTTCTTTCTCATAAGAACCTGCTGGATCCAGCTGAGAAAAGGAGACTACAGCCAATTTCATAGCTCACCAGAACGCTGCATCTCGTAGTCCCATTGTCTTCATCACCTCCTTTAATTTCCGTTTCTCTCTTGAAAGAGTTAGTGCCAAGAAATACATAAATGGAACAAAACACAGTGATAAGGCCCAAAGGAACACACCATTTTCTAATTCAAATGCCATGGAAACAGAAGGCGATCTCATACGGATGCCATTAATAGAACTCATTTCTTCCCAAACAGAGTGATTGGTGATCCTCTAAAAGTAAAGACAAAAACATTTTTGAAATTACTGATAACCTTTTCCATAGGTGATTTGGCATGCTTTTTTTGTGAGAAGGGTGGCTGTAAAATTTTGAGAGAGAAAGAGAGAGGCAGTCAGGCAGGCAAAATCTGATCAAATAAGTAAATGCTGGGAAAAGCATCATGGTCCTCATCACTTACAAAACTACAAGACATTATCCAGTGCCTCATTTATATGTCATTAATATACTGTACAGTATATCTCTAAATTTATCTACTTCTGCTATTGATTTTTAAATATGACTATGTACCTTGCTTTCTATCTATAGGTTTTCAGCAATGTATTGTCATTAGTTGTTTGCCAATATCTGAATTAAAACCAAAAATGTTTCCCAAGAGAAATGGATGAGGTAATGGCAGCCAAGTAGAAAATACAGAAATGCCTATTTTATCTTTAATTATTTTCACATTTCAATTCTTCCACCTTTAAGAAATTTTAAGGGATTTATGTAGATGATAAAAAGCCATTAAAACATTCAGAACAACTATACAAACAGTAAAACAAACACAAAACTGTAAGCAGTAAAAAAAAAAAAAGACAGCATCAAGAGAAGGCTCCATGAGACAATCTAGTCTTTAAAAGCTTCTGAATCACCAACAATTAGAAGCCTAGCCTGATCGCAGCCAGAAGACTGTGCCACAGTGTATGTGTGGAAGGAAAAGTCTTCACTACAATATATTTTCTATAAGTGTTTGCCAATATTTGAATTAAGTTTTTTTTCCTATATGAGGAGCAAGAAATAAGATGTCTAGGTATTTCAATCATTTTTTTTCTTTATAATGTAATTGCCTGGGCTTCCCTCTCTTCTTCCTCCTATTTTAATATTATAAGATATAATTAACTCAGTTAGATAGTTAAAAGATAGATAGATAGATAGATAGATAGATAGATAGATAGATAGATAGGTAGGTAGGTAGGTAGGTAGGTAGGTAGGTAGGTAGGTAGGTAGGTAGGTAGGTAGATCTTGTTCTAATCAGAGTGGTTTCTTTTCCTAAGTATGTTAAGTACATATATATTGGGGGGGATTAATTTGTTAATCTGATACAGGAACCTAACAATGATCTAATACTGGAATCAAAACAGGAAAGCACTTATCTGCACTGTGAGTAGATTAGAACAAGATATATTCTACAGCCCAGGAAGATCCAGATGTAGTGAGTAGGATAAAAAGCAGCCCGATTTATCAAAATATATAAAATTGCAGACAAAATGAAAGAATAGAGGAGTCATTCAAATAAAACTGAGAAAATGTGGCTGCCATTGCTACGGATAAAAGACTTACTTTGTAGGAAAATAGCACACACACCCCAAGAAGGAAATATTTTTGAGGATATTAAAAGAGCAGAATATTATATTTCCCAAAGGAATAATGGGAGGAAATCCTAAAAGGCAAAAACTTCTCCCTCTCCCCAAACAGAAACTCGGCAAGCCAGCTCTGTAGAAATGCAGATTTGATAACCCTATTCAGAAAGACTGGTCTATTTATTCATAAGCAAAACGCCTTCAGCTATAGCCCCAGAGAAGGTTTGAGCTGATGGGATTAGAAAAACAAAGACTCCAAAAAACATGATCTTTAGGAGGATTACCCCACCCCCATTAGAATACCAAAAGGGCACACTGAAGCTCAGGTCAAAGTTTATTGCACAGGAACAGGAAGAGCCTCAAATACAATGCCACAGGAAGAGGAATAACTCCAAACACAAAAGCCCAAGAAAATATAAAAACCCACCACTCCCAGCTCCATTTTGTCAGATACATGCTGTGTCACTAAAGTTTCTGATAACTAAATAAACAACAACCTTCTTTCCAAACAGCTTCCATTTTGTTTTTTCCCAGCTTGGACTGAACCTGAAGATTTTTCTTTCAACACTTACTTCAATAAGTGCACTGTCAATGCTAGATTGCAGTGAGACAAAGCCTTGAGTCCAATATGTCGGATTTTCACAGTAAATTGAGGAAAAGTTGAAACAGGTATCTACAAAAAAAGGGGAGAAGAGAAACAGATTTTTACAATATTATATGTACAATCTTATAAATTAAAAGTCCCTATTAATTGGGAAAAAGTTGGGATTTCACTGGACTGGACGATTTCCAGGAAAATGATTCAGAAAGGCTTGAGAAGCACTGAGTTTCCCTCTCTTCTAAGAGCAAAGAGAGGGAAGAACTTTACTTTGCTTTTTCCCAACTTCACTGACTTCCTCAGGTACTTGAAGTATTGGGGCCAACCAAAATTATCTTACATAAGAGTAGAACAATATAACTCACCAACATCTTAAACAAAACACGGCTCAATACATCCTCCTATCTAAAGTGAAGAAGAAAATGGGAGCTGTTTCTAAAAATTATTTCCATTCAAACTATAATTTATTTGAAAAGTCTAATTTAAGTGCTGTCATTATTGAATTGGATCGGACATATTTACATGATTATATTTTCTTGGAAAAAATAAAAGACAATCCTGAAAAAAGGGAAAATCTGAAAGAGTATAAGTATAAAGAAAATTAATTTTTTGGTTTATAACTTGGTTTTACAAAGGAAAATTTAAGAGCAAAATCAAGAAAATATTTAAATCAAATTAATCTAAAGAACAAATTTCTGAAACAAAGGACCATCCTTTATAATAAAGGGCATATGGTCACTATAAATATATTATATACACGGTTAACTTATTGGTACCACATTCAATACTTTTATGCTTTTCCTGACATATACAACTCCCACGTTCATTTAACAAAATGGGCATAAGTTTGTTCTCAGCCATTTTCACTTTGTTTGACAAACATTTATTCCTTGCCTCAGACATCAAGCTAGCCCCTGCCTTCCAATCAGCATTTGCACATTATTATCATTATCATTTCAATTAATAAGCTAACTAACTACAAAGCAACTCAGGGTGACATAACAAAAATATAAAAATACGACTTCCGGTTCTGGTTCGTGGCGTCAGTAGTTGAACAGGGAGACTTCTCTCCTCGTCGACTAGGTTTCCCTCCGTTGGTGGACCCTTATACGGGTCCAAAGTCACCCTGGAGGGTGCGACTTCTGTCAAGGAGGCTGTGGTCCGGCTGTGGAGGAGCGGCGGTTCCTCCAGTTGTCTGGACGAAACTCTGAAGACCGACGGAGAAGAAGATCAGCCAGGAAAATGGCCGATCGCCCTGCCGCTTCAGACCATAAGTCGAATAACATCTAAGCTTTTAGTGCCCCCGTGGTGAATCCGGGTGAGAATTTTTTCTTATTTTTCTCTCTTTTCCGTTTATTTTTCGATTGTGTGCCTGTAAAGAGCTTTTGAAATTATTTCCCTGACTTGGAAAGGCGGCTTCTGCTTTTTTATGGGAAGAAAGGCATTTCACAAATACTGAAAGGCTATAATCTATTTTTATTGGGACACTAAAAAGGAAAAAAAAGAGGAAAAGGCCTCTCTCTCCTTTCTTTTTAAGGAATTTACTATTTCTACATATATATATATATATATATATATATATATATATATATATATATATATATATATATATATATATATATATTCTGAGGTTTTCGTGGGTATTTGTATGTAGGTCTTTGGTTGTTCGGGTTTTCTCCCACGTAAAATTGGAAGTGTCTTGGCGACGTTTCGACGAAGTCCCATTCGTCATCTTCAGGCTGGTGTTTTCAGCTTCGTGCTTCGAGCAGCAATGTGTGGTCTTAGCTGTTTCTTCCTTTTAACTGCCAGTGGGGGTATGAACTGATTGGGTGGGAGCTTGGCTGTGTTCTGATTGGGTGGAGGTGTGTTCTGATTGGTTAGGGGCTTGGCTGTGCTCTGATTGGCTGGGCTCCCATACATAAAAGGCACCACAGACAGAATCAGTAAGATCCTCCATAAACACAACATCAAAACAGCATTCTGCACAAACAGAAAAATATCCACCATCCTTAGAAACCCCAAAGATAAAATTGAATTAGAAAATCAAGGAGTATACGAAATCCCATGCACCACTTGTCCCACCACATACATCGGACAAACCAACAGAAGAATAAGTGCACGCATTGAAGAACATAAGAACTCAGTCAAAAAAGAGGAACCAACATCTTCCCTGGTCCAACACCTTAAAGCCACAGGACATGAAATTGACTTTAAAAATACCAGAACCATTGCCAAAAGTGAACATTTTAATAACAGAATAATCAGAGAAGCCATCGAGATAGAAAAACGCCCACACAGCATGAACAAGCGAGATGATACCTCCCGCCTACCAGCCATTTGGAAACCCGCCCTTATTGACAAACGACTCCCTAACACAAAAAATGATACCAGACCCACACTCACAAAAACCACACAGGATGTCACCACCACACATCCACGCAAAAAACAAACCCAAAGCCACACCGATGATGAGGCATGACCACAAACCAGAAGCCAGACCACAGCTGCATCATTAGCCACTTTAAACCCTCTCCAATCCATACATGAAGCAAACTGACACCCTCCATGAAGAGCAGGCATGACCACGAACGCGAAGCCAAAAAATAGCAAGGCAGCCCAAAATCTTAAACCCCTCTGCAACTCAGACTAACCTGAGCACAACCAAACAGAACACTCCCCCAGCCAATCAGAGCACAGCCAACCCCCCAGCCAATCAGAGCACAGCCAAGCCCCTAACCAATCAGAACACACCTCCACCCAATCAGAACACAGCCAAGCTCCCACCCAATCAGTTCATACCCCCACTGGCAGTTAAAAGGAAGAAACAGCTAAGACCACACATTGCTGCTTGAAGCATGAAGCTGAAAACACCAGCCTGAAGATGACGAATGGGACTTCATCGAAACGTCGCCAAGACACTCCCAATTTTATGCTGGCATCTGCCAGCATCATCAGGGTAGTCTCCAGTCGATGGGAGAAGCTATTTATAAATGTGGCGTTCTTTGCGCCCGGCTTCTTGACCTCGTCATGGGTCCCAGCCAATCCACCTGCGTTTTGATCGTAGTTTCTGTGTTGCAAGCTGTAATTTCCTCACTTTCCTTACTTGTGCTGGTACCGCAGCTCTTCCTCCCTTCTTTGCATAACTGTAAGTCGGGGCGACTCCTTAATTCCACGTAATTAGATGTGCACTGTCTGTGTTTACGTTGTTTATTCTCCTCATCCTCCTTCTTAGTACTCCCTATTTCTCTTCTCCTCCCCCTGTTTCTCTGTTTACGATCCTCTTTCAAAACTATACCCTCATTGTTTGTCTCTGTAGCCCAAGATTCCATTGTGTTTACATCATCCTTTTTCCCGTTCCTTCGTATCACTTTATTAACTCCCCTTTCTATTTTCTCTTCAATGGGGGTGATTTTAACACCCTCTCCAGAATTCGTGGCGCCCACAAATTGATTGCTGACCCCTTTTCCCGAGGGGGCTGTCCCTTCACTGTTGTTTGTGTATTCGCTCATTACTTGGGGGTATGCAATCTTCCTTAAAAGGAGAGAGGCGGAATCCTTACGGTCGTGACTTGCATCTCCTTGTGCATTCCTACGGGGAGTCGTTCCTCTCAAATGTCTGTAGGAGCATGTGGAAGCTCTAAGATTATAGCGAACAGGCTTCTCATCTCCCCATTGTTTTCCTGCGTTCCCAAGGCAATAACAGCTCAATCAGGAAATGTCATTAGTGAAGTTAGTTGCAGGATCGCCAGTGGAATTACACGTGGCATTCCAATCTTTCGAATCATGATTGTTTAATAACCCGAAGTCTATACCAGATTGCTTTTTTTGTCAAACTCCTCGCTGTTCCTGGGAGACCCTCAATTCATCAGTACTTGGCTCTTGGTTGTCAATCCACTCCTGTGTCCATGGGGGAGGGGCATATGTTTCAGCAGGTGGGGAGTTACTCCGCTGCTGATTATTCCCTGTCTGGGTATTTCCAAGGCTCGTCTCCTCCGTCAACCCTCTTTGCCGAAGGCAAGTAATGTTACATCGTTTTTCTCCGGAGGGACGGTCGCGCATTGCCCTTGCTCTTAATGTTACATGTGCTGGGCATAGGTCCACATGTCTGTTGATGGATTCTTCATTGGAGAGCCACGCCTCTTTAAGGAGCCGGCCCCCCTTCGTGCTGTCACTGGCCATCACCTGCACGTTGCTAAAATCGAACCTATGCCCAGATTCTAGCATATGCGCCCCGATTTGGGAATACTGATCGCCTCTCCTTACCGCCAACTTATGCTTGTGAATTCTAGTTTTGACACGTTTGGAGGTCTCCCCCACGTAATTGGCAGAGCAACTTTCACAGTTGATCCTGTAAATGACATTGGACTTCTCTATGGTGGGGAGTGGATCTTTCAATCTCATCACCTTAGATCGCAGCGTCTGGTTGGGGTTATGTGCCACCCTCACATCATAGGGGGCCAATATCCTAGCCGTGGCTTCTGAGATGGTGTTAATGTAAGGAAGAGTGATACGAAGTCTCTGTGATGTATGTTCTTCTATTTGAGACCTGATGGGGAGGGAGGGTCTGGATGATAGTCCATGGCGCCTGATGAACTTCATAGGGTAACCATTGTGCCTGCACACCTTAAAAAGGTGCTTCTTTTCTTCCGTCCTAGCCTTGGCAGAGTTGCAGTGGGAGCCTACTCTCTTGAAGAGTGTTCTAATGCAGCTGGCCTTGTGGGCCACTGGATGGTTGCTATCATAGTGTAGAATTCTATCTGTGTGCGTGGACTTGTGGTAGACCCTAGTCTTCAGGGTTCCATTAGGTTGGCGGTGGACCAGGACATCAAGAAATGCCAACTCACCCTGGTGCTAAATAAATAAATAAATAAACTGCAAATCCGCGCACACCAAATTGAGTATGCCCTCAAAGCCAGCTTTTTGGCTCCTCTTGATGATGACAAATGTATCGTCCACGTAGCGAGCCCAGAATTTAGGACAACACTGGGTCATCGCTACGTGCTCCAATTGCTTTTTATAGTTTTATAACTTCCTGGTGTTCGTATATTTTATTGTTTAATGTGAGTCTACCCAGGAATCACTGTTTTGTTTTTAATATTCTTAATTATATATATATATATATATATATATATATATATATATATATATCCTTAATGGTTATAAAAATACGAATACACACACACACACACACACACACACACACACACGTATATATAAAACCTTAAAAGACGGGGGAAAAAAGAACTGATTTTTGGAAAGGACTTTCTTAACTTACTTCATCTAGTGGTGAAAATGTAATACTGCAACCCTGCTTATTTCTTCTTATGAACTTTAAAACACTAAAGCTGTGGGGGCAGATGTTTCTACATTAAACAAAGCCTCTACAAAAAAGAAAAAGAGATCTCCTTTTAAGCATTAGTATTAAAATGGAGAAACCTCAGATACAACTGAATTGTGCACTTATATTGGAAAAGATTTATGAGGCCACTGCAGAAATTTGTGCTACATTTAAAAACTGTACTTCAGAATTAAGATCCAGAGACTCTGCTATATTTGCCCAAACTGATGTCCAGGTTACAACTGATTATGGCATAAATCAAAATGTGCCAGAAGAGGAATTTACAGAGATAGAAGAGGAATTTATTTCATCTGACAATCTCTTCTCCAGCAATTTAGAGAACCAGAAGAAGCAAAGACTAAGACTTCAAAATACAAAGCAACTACATCGCAAAGAGAACAGAAAAAGACGTTTACTGCAGAGGAAGAGATTTATACTCTCTCAAAGATTATTACAAGCAATAAAATTGATTTATTGGTTGAAAGAGAAAAAAGATGCTTACTACAGAGAAAGGGACATACATTTGCTCAAAGATTACTACAAGCATCGAGAATGGATTTACTGGTTGAAAGGGAAGCGTCTTCATGGAAGCTGGTGTGGCATAGAAAGAAACCCAGAATCAGACTCAAAAACAAATTTAAAAATGTTTAATGGAGCAAAAAGCAATGTTGATTTCATGGATTGCTTTAAGGATAATGATTTAGAGCTGAAAAATGCAATTATACACATGCGTGTTTAAATTAGTAAAAATTGTTGAATGGATTAAAAGGCAATGTTTGTTCTATGGATTGTTTTAAGTAAAATTAATTTGACTTAGAAGTAAGAAATCTACAATTATATTCATGTGTGTTTAATTTAGTTTGATGTCTTTTTTGCTTTATGGAAGTTTGTTTGGTATGGAAATATGAAAGTTAAATGTGGAATGAAAAAAGAAACTTGGCTTTACAGAGACTAAGAATGCATCTCTTGGAGTAATAGATTGATTTAGACTGGAATTTTGAAATGTTTAATTAATTAGGAGATTTTTGTGTATAATAATATGTTTCGTTATGGTAATTAATTGGATAGAATTTGGTTTGTTTAATGAATGGAAATGAATTGTCAAATGATTTAGATTTAGAAGTAAGAAAATTATAACTATAATTTTAATGTGTAATGTTTAATTAATTAAGAGATATTTGTGTATAATAATACAATTTGATATGATATGATAATATTGTCTTTTTAAACTAAATTAGTTATTATTGGAAGAAGAAATAAATAATATTGGTGATAAAAAAGGGATGAGAGAGATTAAGAACTTGAATATATTTGCAAGAGATATTTGAAGGGATAATATGTTGATGTAAAATATTATTTGATTATGGTAATTGAAATTGATAAAGTTTTAATAACAGGTTTAGTAATAATAGAAATTTAGGATACAAATGAAATATATTAAATTTATTATGCTACTTGAGGGAAATAGAGAGATTATAGCGAATGTATTAAGTTGAGCTGTTATTGTGTGATTTTATGTTGGAATCTGTGTTTACCCAAACACCACGGTGTGTCTCAAACACTTTTTGTTAAAGCTATAAAACTAATATATATATATATATATATATATATATATAAATACATAAAACCAAACCTAGACCAATAATAATAATGCAAGAACGATGCATCACACTGAGGAAACAAAAAGAATTAAAATACCACGTATTTGGTGCAAGTTTTATAAGCCACCCAATCTCAGTGTTTGCTGACAGAGTCAGGTTAGTAGAGCTTTATTAACAGATCCTCTCCATTTGTTTTTCCATTTTTAGTAAACATTTTACCAAAGTACACAAATTCATTTACTTGCTCTATTTTTTTGCCATTTATTTACAACTTGCCAATTTCATTTCGTTTTTCCCTGTGAACCATAACTATCTTTAGGTTTAATATATTAATTTCAGATCCATGCTTTTTATTGTTATTATGCAATCTGTCTAACATTCAGTGCAAATAATTCAAGTTCTCAGTCTCAATAACGTAGCATCCCCTTTATACATTTGCATCACCATCTAATATGCTTCTAACACCATAGCAAGCATTCCCGACAGTCTAAGTCTAATCATTCGACTGGAAACTCTTCATTTTGTCCTCTTAACTTCCAAAATACTTTTTTTCTTATTTTGTCAAATTATTCTCCACTTTCTCTCCCTATTATGATCATAACTATTTTCTGTTTTCTTTGTCTATATTCTTTGCAATGTTTGTTTCTTCTCTTTACAGATTACACAGTATCTTTCCCTTATTGTCATTTTGTAGTATTCTCTTACCACTTTGTTTTTGAGAAAATTTATTGTCTGCTTTCCTGCAGAGGAGGCTGTAAATCTAAGTAAGCCTACAGGTCCTCCTGCTTGAGCAGGGAGCTGGACTAGAAGACCTCCAAGGTCCCTTCCAGCTCTATTCTATTCTTGTATGTATTTTTTTTAATTCACAGGTTTCTTCACAGTGTCATTCCACTAAATACTCTGAAAGAGTATTAAAAAACTCCCACTTAGCATAACTCCAAACATATCTCTTGTACTTTTATAATATAATTCTCCTTATTGTGTTTCAAGTAGCTACTATTTATCTTGATTTATCTCTCTTTTTACACCACTTTCTCTTTATTCCATTGGATGATCAATCCTAACATTAACCCTAAAACGTAGGGATTTTGTTCAGTCCCATGCTGGTCTTCTGAGGGCTTAATATCCTAAATTCATGACACAAATTGCATTATTACATCCCCAATAAATAAGCATGAAAATAGTACCAGTTAAAATCTGCACATACGTGTATCCCTGTAAATGAAAATTGTAGTGTCATTCTAAAAATGAAATATTGTAAAGCATGTTGAAAGTACATGCGTACACACAGACTATATGTATACATGCAAATATATAATATACGAACATATGATGCTACACCTGCATCTGACTTTCATGTAAACCTGTGTTTGTTAATCTTGGCAACTTTAAGATGTGTGGACTTCAACTCTCCAGCCACCTATGCTGAGTGGAATTCTGGGATGTGAATTATGATGTGAAGTTCTCACATCATAAAGTTGCCAAGGATGAAAAACACTTCTATAGATGTATTAATATCTAGAATGAAACACATAGCCATCTTGAATTACCTATAAAAGCAAAATCTTTGTGTGGGTTAACTGTTCTGTAGAGAGGAAATCTGAGTCGATAGGAAATTTCATCTTGAAATATAACTCCAATAATATCTAAGTTCAAGTCCTCCTCTGATGCCATGGCATTCTCATCTTTCATAGTCTTCTCATCTTCCATCACTTTTGTCTCAACACCTTTAAGTATAGAAATCATGTCAGTAAGTGGAATCCTACACAGGACAGGGAAAGAGAAATGTCTTTGCCTGCTGATGTTTCATTAGCTGTATCAGTTAACCATTTCAAGGGTTATTATCAAAAATTTGGCCAAAAGAATAATGGATTAAAAAAATAGACTGATATTTAATCTTCTAGCCAGAACTCTGTTAGCACCTAAGTTAAATAAAAGGAGGTGAGGTACAGATAGGCAAGCAGAAATGCCTTTTCATTCATCTATTCGATAGATGTCTTGATCTTAAACATATCTCCTTGCATAACATATTGGCTACGTTCACCCATCATACTAATCTACAAAAAAAACTCAACCCCAAATTGTTTAATTTTTGCTTCTCGAAAAACAGGGCTATAGCCATCTAAAAACAGGTTTTATTATAAGTTATATGAAATCAGTTGATCACAATATACAAGGGCAATTCGGAAGTAAGCCTCCATTTGGTTATCAATAACAGACACTTGCAGATACAGAACTTGTATTGTACACATTAAAAAAATACAACATTACATTACTTTTTGACATAATCGCCATTCAAATTGAAGCACTTGTCATAACATCTTATAAGATTTAAAATTCCTTCTGCAAAAAAATCTCCTGCCTGGGTATGAAACCACCCTGTAACAGCATTGTGAAATGCATTGTCATTGTCGAAGCAGTGCAATGCAAGCCAGTTTTTCATTTAAAAAACTGGTCCATTTTCAATTGATCTAGCAGATAAATCAACTGCAACACAACCTTCTCCTTCCACTCCTCACCGCCTACTGAACTACTGCACACAGCGCCATAGGACGGGCATCGCTATCCCCACCTATTTCCCGCACATACTCAAATGGAGGTTTATTTTTGAATTGCCTTTGTATAAAAAACATCACAGACAAACCACAGGTAGCATGATATATGAACCCAGTCATATTTCATATACCAGTGGTATTTATTTATTTTTACCTCATCTTTATTATTTTTATAAGTTACTCAAGGCAGCAAATATATCTAATACTCCTTCCTCCTCTTGTTTTCCTCACAACAATAACCCTGTGAGATGTGTTGGATTGAGAGAAAGAGTGACTAGCCCCAAATTAGCCAACACTTTCATGCCTAAAGCAGAACTAGAACTCAGAGTCTCCTGGTTTTTAACCCAATACCTTAACAATTAGACCAGTGGTTCTCAACCTTTTTAATGCCGTGACCCCAACCAGTCGTAAGTCAAGGACTACCCAACCGGTCATAAGTCGAGGACTACCCAACTGGTCATAAGTCGAGGACTTTCCCTGCCCGGGAGTGCTGCGCATGTGAGGTGCCGCCCCCTGCACCGGCTGAAGCGTAGCTGGCAAGCGGCAGAGACGGCGCAGGCCGACCACCGGCTGGGCCACCAGCTGGCCCAGCCCAAGGGAGGTAAGGCACCCGCCAGGCCCCACGCACGCCAGCAACCCTCCCTGCACTTGCTGGCCTCCCATCTCCCACCCCTGGCCCTCTTTTACTTACATTTTTAGTAGTTGCTCAGCAGGGAGGGGTGGAAACTTCCAGACAGCTCGCCTTTGCTGCAGACAACTTGCAGCACCGTTTGCAGAATGGGACTTTTGGCGGGCTCAGCAGAGCAGAGACAGCCTGGGCAATTCCTATTGGCTTTTGAAAGCCAATAGAATTAGACTCTATTCAAGAGAGTCTATTCTATTGGCTTTCAAAAGCCAATAGAATAAAAGGGAGTAGCACAGCCAAGGAAAAGGGGGAAAAAATGGTGGACTGCGTTGTTTGGCGACCCCGATGAAATGGTCGTTCGATCCCAAATGGGGTCCCGACCCACAGGTTGAGAACCACTGCATTAGACCTATCTGGCTCTCTTACTCACTTTCTCTAAACCAGTGGTTCTCAACCTTTCTAATGCCGTGACCCCATAATACAGTTCCCCATGTTGTGGTGACCCCCAAGTGGGTGTGGCCACCAACAAGAGGGAGTAGGACAGCTAGGGAAAAGGGAAAAAAATGGCAGACAGCATGGTTTGGCGACCCCCGTGAAATGGTCGTTCGACCCCAAATGGGATCCCGACCCACAGGTTGAGAACCACTGCTCTAAACTGACGTACATAATGTATGAACAGCATTGGAGGATACCTACAATCATTTTTCTATAGTTACCAAACTTAATCAAAATGAGCCCAGTTGAAATTAGCCTCTATTATAGTCTTTGAAAACATTTTAACAGATACATTATACCTTTTAGAGGAGAGAGTATTTCTATTTTCTTCATTATTTCTCTTGACATCTTAGTATTTGGAGCATACAAAATTTTAACTCCAGTAATATTAAATGAAGGTTTCCCGAGAAGAGCATGAGGTATTTCGCCAGAATCCTGATTTGTCAATCCAAGTGTTGCTAATAGTATTATACTGAAGACAACCAGGGAAGAAAACAATTCCTGGAAATGTGAAATAAGTCCAATTTATTAACACCCATTACAGTATTTTGGAATGATCGCAGCAAGGCAATTCTATTTTGAATCATAGGCATATCATTGGGATCTACACAAATGAAAATATAGCAAAAGAGAATCTAGGAGGCTGGACCTTGCAATGTTGCATACATGCATACTCTCACATCATGCTTTCAGGTACATGTTTGTGTCTATTCGCATCACACCCTACAGAAGCACATATAAAATATGCATGGGGAGAAGTTGTAATGCTAGTGAGGAAGCTCTGCTCCCTTTTCATATCCACACATTCATTCTTAACCCCAAAAGGCATCCTGAATTCAGCATACTGGTGTATGGCAGATGGGGGGAAACTTAAAAAAAAATGCTTTTAGAACCACCCTTATTCCTAAAGCGTTACAATTTTAATTTTGAGACAGAAAAGATTACTCTATCCTCCCTACATTGCACAGAAAGGAAAGCTTTTACATGGCTGGTGTGTGCTCTCTTTTTGGTTATAATGAGAAATGTTAGCAGCTCAAGAAAGTTGCTAAAATTCTTTTAGCAAAGAGTTAAAGATCCTTTAGCTTTCCTTTCTTAAACTTATTTATTGGACTTTTTGGCCTTCACATTTACAAACTGATTTTTTTTTTCTTCTTCTATCTTTGTACGCTGGAGGTCCTCCAAGCGTGAGATCATTCCTGCTATGTCAGTGTACAGTCAAATATTGTTGTCCATCACTAAACTGAAGCTGAACCCATTCCATCTTATTCTGCACTCTTATCTTGCAAGTTCTTGAGACGTCAGACCATTAGCAGAATCTGTTGCTGATATAAAACCAAAAAAACAGAAGCTAGTCCCCACACATGAGTACCTTCCCCTCTTTCCAAAACCAGTTATATTCATCACGCTGTACAACACAAATCGTCCTTAGTCCAATTTTTGGCATTAGATTCACAACTTTCATCCCTTAGAAACAGAGAAAGGAAACCAGGAGAAAAGAAAGCTCAGTGGAGAGTAGAGGTGGGGAAGGAGGGTTGTTTTCACTGAAGGTTGCTGCTTGGCACTTGCCTGAAAACTCTGCATTCTCATCCTCCATTTCAGAATTATATTTTTCCACAAAAGTGCCGCAGTCTGTTGACACACGCTTCTTTTTCGCATGTACTCCATCTGCATGGTAAGGCTTGCTTGAAATAAAAATAAAAAAAAAATCCACCAAGAAATCTTAACATCAAGCAAGCTGTAGTGGGAGGCACAAGTTAAATATTACAATGCCCCTCCTTTCCTTGCTTATGGGGTTATGTTCTATGCATCTATTTATTTCCTAAACAGATCAATATAGGTTAAAGCCATGCAGGGTTTTGACTTAGAATTATTTGATCCAGAGTATTTGAGTATATCTCTTTTTCCTTAGCTAAATACAATAGAATGGACAAAAAAACATGAAACAATCAAATCTCTGTATAGTATCCACATCTACTCCATTGCACTTAGTAGCATTTTCAGGTGTCCAAGCAGAGCTCCATATTAGCATCCAACCATGCAAAAAGCAATTTATCCATAATCTTTAGATCATGCCAATAAAAAAACAACACAATGTTCTAAGAAACTTCACTAAATAGCTTTCTTTTAACATAATTTAACCTAACACAGCTTTACTCAGAAGCAGGATCCACTTCAACAAGATAAATCCAAGCAAGGCATATATGCAGATTGAGTTGAACTGAATTTATAGTAGCTTTCAACGAGTTAAATTGCATAATGCTTGAAATTTAAATAGTATTCTGTGTAACTGGATTATTGTTTTAATGCAGTCAGGAAAAAGTAATCCTTACCTTAAGCAATTTGAACAAAAAATGGAGGAAAGGAATTAAAGATAGCTACAGAACCAAACCAATGTCCATCTGGAATGTGATTTGTTTGAGAGAGAAAAATTCTACAACAGCTTTTTTTTTTTTTTTCATGTCCTCATTCCTTCAATTCATTAACCCAGACAAAAAGCCACAGTCTTTCACAATACTTTGGTGTTCTTATTTTCCCTCCTCCCATTTTTCCCTCTCAGGACAGCTGAACAGATTTCTTTGTTTTGAAGGTTTCATCAGTGTTCACACAGCTGGATCTCTGAAAAAGAACTTAGCTTATATTCCAGAGTTTGAGAGAGACAAATAACTTATATATATACATATACATATACATATACATATATATACACATATACATATACATATACATACACACACACACACACACACACACACACACACACACACACACATATATATATATTCTGCACCTAGCTAAAAATGTGCATTTTTACACATTTTACACAGATTAAGATGTAGGTTGTGTTGTCTTTGGAGGTTCAACCCTAGCATTAGGTGGATCAGTGTTTCTCAAACTTGGCAACTTTAAGATGTGTGGCCTTTAACTCCCAGAACTGAAGCCCTATTAGGGTAGAGCAATGTTTCTCATACTTGACAACTGGGAATTCTGGGAGTTGAAGTCCACTGACTTTAAAGTTGCCAAGTTTGATAAACATTGAAGTAGAGTGAACAATTTGCATAACTTAGCAGATGCTGAAAGGAGATTGAGATCAGTATCCTATGGACTTCTCTTGAGCCATTCTGTTTTCAGAGTCCTTGTGATAAGGCTCCTTACATGACATTAACGTGGTCCAAATGATTGGCTCAGCTATTTATGTTCTCTCAGTGTTTCACATTGGATAGAACAATCAATCGGGAAGAGACAAGACATCTTGTGTTAGATGTGTGTATCAGCCTGCATTTGCTTAAACTAACAATAGGCTGGATTTGGGCACAGAAACGAGAGAATGGAGGAAGCTCTGTGCGTGCCATGCAATTTACAATAATCTACCAAAGATAGCTTTTTCCTCAGATCTGTGTTATTGGCCAGGGTTGAAGTGGAAAAAAATCAACTGCTCAGATTTTGTATAAGAAATATCACAATGTTTTTTGCTGTTTAGTAATTTGAGCCTGCTTGCTGGTGCACTGTGTTGATTTCAACAACTTTGCAATATTGTTGAAAAATACAACTTACAATCAACAAGACCCTCAAGATTGGTAAAGTAGCTTAAAATTTCCTCCTACTTTCATGGGGAATAAATTTGTGTTAATGAAAAATTGATCCCTGCCCATTAGGGGTTTGTTTTGCAATCAGAAATCTAATTGGACCCCAGTCTATACACAAACTCCAATGGATTTCTTATTATTCTAAAGAGTTCCTCCTATTAGACTGTTTTTGCAGTCAGGACCATATCCACTCTCAATAACTTCCAGGTTTAGATTTCTGACAGAAAAAAAAATAGTTTTGTTGTTTGCCTGTATATTGGTAAAATTACAAAGATAGATGAATGTCATACTGGGCTAAAGCCTCCATGGGGGAGCTTCAAATGATGAAAGCAGCATAATACCCATTACATTGTTCCATCCTTTTTGTCATCACATTATAATATCACACTTCTGCATGAATGGGTCAGAACTTGAATCGCAAGGCTACTTTCATTGTTTTGATGAAAGCAACGGATCCTGCACAGATCCTGATGCTAGTAGACTTCCAAGACCAATCTGATATAAGCATCTCAGCTCTAATTAAGGATTCCTAGCACTGAGCAAAATGGCTTAGCTTTGTCCTGGTGAGATGTTTTGTATGACATGGGTAATGGAGGTCACTTCAAGGAAATGTGTCATAAAACCTTGAAGGAGCTATCTGTGAGGAGTTCTAATAGCTAAGTGTCATTATTGGAAGAGCATGATAAAATACAGAAATGTCTTCCTGTTGTGGAACTTCTAGTAAAAACTCAATAGAGAGATGAAGAAAAAGAAGATAAACATTTCACTTCCTTTTTATGACTGAGTGGGTTTTGTTCTATGAAACAATTTCAAAGAGACACTTTGCTTAAGTCTGTATTGAATCAACAAGGCTAGTAACTCCTTTTTTTCTTTTGTGTCATTGAAGAATTTGAGATGAAATCCTATGGCAATGTCTCTCAGCCTTGGCAACTTTAAGATGTGTGGATTTCAACTTCCAGAATTCCCCAGCTAGCATGAAGTTGAAATCCACCCATCTGAAAGTTGCCAAGGTTGAGAAACATTGTCCTATGATGTAGCAACTATACTAGGAATAACTGCAAGTGGAATCCCAATCAGGAGTAGCTTTATATGCATGAAGAATACATTTATCGGGGGAGGGGGATGTTCACAAAAAATGTTGCAATATTTCTTTGGACATTTCCTTGATATGTTCATCCCTGGATTAAGGGAGGGATCTGAAATAATGCAAAAAGTCAAGACTGGAAGGAATCTTACTCTCATACACCCTCCTTTGTCACCCTGTCATCAGAAGTGCAGGCAATGGCTTCTGAAATACAGAGATAAACGGTAGGTTGATCGATGGAGTCCTTGGCACTCTCTTAGCTTGGTGGTTTTCTTGCAGACATTTCATTACCAAACTAGGTAACACCATCAATGCTTGTAGGTAGAATGGATACAGACGGATAGCCTGCTGGGGAGTTGTGGGAGGGGAAAGGAAGGAAACCCCAGACAACAGAACAATAACATTCCCTGGAGTTTCAGTTGGTGAGCTAGGATTTTGCCATCTATTTTGTCAGCCAACCCTTAGGAGTTTTAATTTTGGAGAAGGAGGAATCTTTTGCTCTTCCAAATCTGAAAGAAAGGAATAGTGATTTGGATCATCTCCTCCAAATGGTGTGTTCAAGTGGAACTAGAACAACAGGGCACAATTGCTAAAATCAGGGTTCTGATAACATCAACCATGAAATCTACTTTTTTTAAAAAAAATTTATAAAGTTTTTATTTTCTATTTTACAATACATTACAATCTTAAAAATACTTCAGATAAAAAATAAAACAAATTGATACACACCACTTTCGGCATTGCCCACCCATTTCCCCCCAAACCGCATCCACCCCCAACCAACTTGCCTCTTTCCCTCTTCTTCCTCTTCCTCACTCTCCACCTCTCCTCAACCTTCCTACTTACTTCTCACCTTCTTCTACCTTCTTGCTCCGGATGCGGTCCAGGGTAAATGCCCAAGCAATTCCTCTCTCCAAATTGAAACATTAATATTATATACAGTAAAACTATTTCTACTTTATCTGAACTACTTAAACTTCGACCCATCCACTCCCCCACCCCCACCCCCACCCCTCCCCCCTCCCCCTCCCCCCTGACTTCCCAGAGCAAAGTACAGGATTATACAAACATATTAAACATAATCTATTTAAGTTTACTAATTATACAATGAACAAAATCATATTAACCCTTAACTCTCTTCAAACTTTAACATCATAAATTTATAAACAAGTTCATTACTCATAAAATAAATGAAACTTTGTAGTTCCATACTTCTTCTGAACATATTCTATCCATCTTCTTCATACATTAAAATATCTCTCTTGTGAATGGTTCTTTAAATAAGCAGAAATTTTAGCCATTTCTGCTAAATTAGAAACCTTAAATACCCATTCTTCTAAAGAAGGCAGAGTATCCTTCTCACCATGAAATCTACTAATGAACTCAAAATTCAGGTTGTGAGAGGTGGGGTGAGAAAAAGTTCTTGTGAATGACAAGATGGCCCATCCTTGAGATCCTCACAGGTCCAGCATTGTGTCTTGCAAAATTGATGGGTTTTTTGGGGGGGGGTAATTTATGCTGCTCCAATGCTCCTTTTCAACTATGCAGTTACTATGAAACAAAAGTTCTTCCATGATTTTCAAAACAAATTATAAAACAGGATTGTCCAGTGGACTGCAAAATCCCCCAAACAACCAAATTCTTACTTTATAATGGCATCTGAATGAGTATTGCTTTGAATTTTAAATAAAAATTTAAATGGTCTAAAGTACAATAAATGTTTGTTTTTACTGTCTGTTACTAGCCATAATTCCTGCCCATTCAAATGGTTTGGTCTAACAAGGCAATAGATTTTGGCTCAGATTCACAGCACAACGGAGGTGGCGGGCGGGAGGCAGTAGAGGGATTTTATTAAATGGAACACAATTGCAAACATATACAGAATAAAGGTCACTTTGTGTCCTTTCTGCCCTTCAGAAACCTTCAAAAACAACTAAAGTTATGCCAACAGGCAATGCCAACCCATTGCAAATAGAGAAGTTGAGATAGTGGCAGATTTTATCTTTCATGAGTGGCTCAATCATTCACAGGGACAGCGATTATAGCTCTGAAATAGTAGTTAGGAGAAAGGCTAAGACAAATCTGGACAAAACACAAAAGGATGAAAAAATCACATTCTCATATGACCATGAAAGCCCATCCACCAAAAGGCTGAATGAAGAAAAATTATTGATAATATTTGGACTACAAGAACAAACTATTCAATACTAGATGAAGTAAGATCAGGTTGCTCACTGGAAGTACTAATATGAAGCTACAGCTTACTTAGTTTGGAGACATCCTGTGAAGGCAAGGGTCACTAGAGGAGACCTTGATGTTTGGAAAAATCAAATGCAATTGAAGGTCATTTTAAAAAGGGGGGCCAAGAGAAGGCAAGATCACTTGATACTATCACAAATGGCACCAACCTGGGCTTTCTAGGGCTCAGGTAATTCCTGGCCAATCATCTGGATAAAATGATGTCCATCACATCTCATAAAGTCAGAAACAACTGAATGGCTGAACAGCAGCAAAAAGTAGTTAGCTACCCAGAGTCACTGTGGTAAGATGGGTGGCCATATAAATTAAATAAATAAAATTAAATATAACCCTTGACCACTGAGAAAAGAAAGGTCAAACAGAGGCACGAGCCTTGATTTTTTGTGCTTAGTCAAAATCACCCTCAGTAAAAATTGAATTAATTTACAGTAGATATATTGAAGAAATAGAAGGTATGGCATAACTCCATCGATTATTTATCATTCAGACTAGGTAATATTGAAATACTGTATTTTCTCATAAAGTTAAGTATGCACATGCTAATCAGAATGCCAT